GTTATGTATAGATAAAGGCAAAAAACTAATGAGCCGAGAGCGAAGACATGACTGGGATGCCCCTGACGACATAGAAGATGGAGATGTCGATGAAAACTCATCATCCTCGGAGGATATCTCAAATGCCGTGAGATATGTACCAACAAGTGCTGGATCCCCAGTAAAAGTCCTCTCCCGGTCAGAAAAAAGAGATGCCTTGGGCATAAAGGACTCAATTCTGAACAACCCGTCGGGTAAGACCATTGTTTATCGAAAAATCCAAGATAGAATGAAAAATGAACCATACTATAGAGTACTTAAGGACGAAATCGTAAGGGAATCAGATCACACTGTGACTCTAAAAAATGGTAAAATAATACGTAAATCTGATTTAGTCATTAAAAGACAGTGCACCCAGAAGAAACCAAGTCCGAGAAAACGAGACCAATTAGTTAGATTTTATGCGACTAAAGGATTGAGGAAAACTGCTAAACCTCCAAGAAATATCGGATTTAAAAGCTCAAAAACTACCCAAAAGAAACGAAATCTTCAGTGGAAATTTGAAGAGCTTGACATTGCGAGGCGAAACGCGGCCATGAACAGTTCTAGGGAAACTCTTCTTAGAGAAGAAGAAGAACAGAGAAAGAGACTGAGAACACCGATTGGCCTCGAGAGCGACCAAGAACCAAGCCCGTCGGGCAAACCCGAACTTCTTAAAAGTTACCTAAATGAACCCGGAGTGACGATCGAACCACATGAAGAGATGTCAGACGATAATGCTAGTGACTTAATGACACTAAGAGACCTCAAGGAGAAAACACTACTCGAAACTACGAAACGAGACGAACACCTAATGTCCGACCGAACAGATCCTAAGCTAGAATCATCAGACCACGCCGACCAGAAGGTCGAGTTAGATGAGATTCCTTTGATCAACTTGGATTCCGGTGACAATGAAAGAGACTCTCAAGCGACCCCACAGCTGATTCTCTTAGACACTAGGGAGGAGGGTAATGAAGCGACCCAAGAAATGCCGGTACCTTCAGAGAATCCCGGAGGAAAGTTCCCTAAATATACTGGAGAACAAACCACCATGGCGGAGATGGGACCGAAACAAATACTATCTGACCGCACTACGAAGTCACAGAAATTGTCCGGTACTGCTAAAAGGAAAGCGTCATCCCCAATGAAATCACCACCCTCGAAAAAACTATCAGAAATTTTTACACGCCAAAACACGAGACCTATGCGAACTAGGCAGCCTCCCAAGATGCTAGGTGAGAGAGTATTTACCAGTATAGTCGATCTAACTGAGGAAGACCGCGATGTCCCAGAATTCGGTTCACCTAATTTAGTCTCAGTATGTTCAACGTTGGAAGCAACTACGGTAGAAATGGAAAGCCATCATGTCGACCTAGTAGACCTGACAACATTAACACCACCTTCATCATCACGCCCTACCATAGTTCACTTGCGGGAAGATATCGACGCGTACTCAAGTGACCCAAAGCCCTCAAAAACAGACGATCAAAAGAGCCCAGACAAGAATGTCAAATTTAGCCCTGATGTTTGTTCCACGCGATTTAACCCATTGGGCCTATCTAATGAAATTTCAACTCCTACATTTATACCCATCGTATCTGACCCAGACTGGCTGAACACCTCCTCTATCATCTCGGCGATAGAACTCCTTGGACGGCCAATGACGCTGGAGGAGCTAAGAAGATGGACTATAAATAAAGCAGCAAATCGGGAATCTGATTAGACGCAGGAGCTCGAAAACAGATGTCATCAAAAACATTCTTGACCTATCAAAACTCCATCGTAAAACTTCTAGCACCTATATGTTCTGTTTATTGTTTATCGCCTAACATCCCAGGATCCTAGGGTCATACAAACCTCCAGTGCTGTTATTTTAAGTTATTGTGATGATTGGTAACATTTATACCCTTGTTTTGGCCACAGAATTCTGCCGAATTCCATTATAGTTCTGTTCACCCATGGGGCGCTACCATCGGATAACAATTAGATTTATTCATTTTGGTTCTACCCAGTATTCCGCTTAGTTTTACGACAACTCTCTGCATACCTTATGACTCTATTTACCCTGGTGCTATTTCAGTTTCTTGCTTGCCTATAGTCACCAGTGTATAGTTATTTCTTCCGACGAATACATATTATTCGATCTAAGGTGCTTTGTTTTGGAATCTTGTTTTTGTTTGTTGAACTTGCCGTCCGGCCCGTCGGGTCCGATCACCGGTCTTCCCCGTACTGTACACCCACCCTTTCGACCTGATAACCGTGTAATTGTACTTAGTTTATGACACGCCTCTTGGGCCCTTTATCAAATCTGTGTTCTTACGAATCTAGATCCACTCTCGGGGGTCCTAGACAATGCGCCTACTGATTCATTCATCTTAGTGCTTAATCATTTTTGTTTTGTTCCCTTCTGGTGAGGCGAAAGGGATAGATTATAGATAAAATTTCGCGGGGAATGTAAAAGTATTATGGTTTGTTTATTTAACCTCTGATCTTAACTTACCATCGACCTTTAAGTTGTTAATTTATATACCTGCCAAAAGCGCAACGGCTTTTGGTAGACTCTGAATTGGACACTATCTTTTATGATACGTAACAAATCAATCGCAACCAATTCAATCTTTTAAACCTCTCTTAACTTAGATAGAGTCCCCGTCTTTTATTTAGTCTTAAATAAAAGCCTACAATTTTAGTAGGAATCTTAATCATCCACAGTCTTAATCTATTCTTAGTTTAAGTCACTCTTTTACAACACGAGTGGTATCCTAATTTTTTAACAATGTTCTCGCGGGTTCGCAGCTGGTAACTTCACGCTGAAATTTTGGTCCTGTTTTTTTTTAAATTTTGTTTTGTTCCAACCGTAGGGGCGGCTATAATGAAAGAATTCGACATCGACCATGTGTTTCAGCGGTTTATTACGGGAAATAAAACAGGAAATTGACGATGTCATATTTGGAACTAATTTTTTGACAGTTTTTATTTACCTTTTCGACTAACCTCCTTAAAGATTTCGCTGTGACATTTCGGGTAATAAAAACCTATTTTTGACTGCAACTTTCTAAATAATCAAGGCACATTTTCTTGAAAAATCCAATTCTAACAAGCATTTCAATAAATCCCTAAATTTTCCTTAATAAATAAAACAAATGCATAAAAGTCGAAATAACAACGAACAAAACCCTTAAGACTCGAGGAATATGGTTATGACATTTATAAACAAGCACGATTTATTTACATTTCACAACAACTTGAAGCTTTGAAAGATGAATTTCCGTGTTATAATTGGGCCGACTTTTTCCTAAACTTCAACAAATTGTTACCAGAACCTATCTATCATTTAAACAAAATACAAATTGCAGATTGTTTGTGTAGATCACCATTAGATCAAACTGTCTATTTTTTTGGGTGTTTATTATTGTTCCGACTTTCGTAACGAAAGTAACAGAATATTTGTGATCGGGGTGGGTTTTTTTTTTCTTCAGACAAAGTTCGACTTTTTAACTAGCCATTTTTGACGGAGTTTTTAAAATATTATTCTGAAGCTCAAATTCAAAAATATATTTCACATGCGATCATTTCTCGCAAAGTTATAGGGGTTTAAGGGTTGCCATTTTGGGACAATTAACGCGCGATATATTTCGCGCTATTAACGCGTAAGCGAGATTTAATCCGTCTTAGAAATTGTTCCAAATTGTTGGAGGAATTTTATTTGCCTTAATTGAATTGTTAACAAGAGCGAAATCTATCCTTTTGTACTTTATATGGCGTGTGGGGAGATGATTTTCACAAAAAATCTCAAAATTTAAAAAAAAATTGTTTTAATTTTATTTCATTACATTCAAATTTTTCATTTTATCACTACTTCATAGACCTTAAAAAGCAGTTGGAATATTCGAGGCTTTGCCCTGATACGAGCAGTCTTGTTCCGACTTTCGAACGAAAGTAACGGAATATTTATGCGGGGGGTGTTTTGCGCCAAAGATGCTAATAGTAATCAAAGACAGGCGGCAGAAAGGAGCTTCAAATTTCACAAAAACAAATTGTAGCAAGACTGCTTGTATCAGGGTGAAGCCCTGAATGTTCCGACTGCCTTTTAAGGTTTATGGAGCAGTAATAACATTAAAAAATTCAATGAAATTAAAAAATTCAATGAAATAAAACAAAAATGAAAAAAAAAGTTCCAAAATTTGAAACTTTTTTAATGAAAATCATCCCCCCACACGCCATATAAAGTACAAGAGGATAGATTTCGCTCCTTGTAACAAACCAATTATGGCAAATAAGCTTCTTTAACCAATTTGGAACGATTTCTAAGACGGATTAACTCTCCGCTTACGTGTTAATAGCGCGAAATATATCGCGCGTTAATTGTCCCAAATTGGCCAAAATGGCAATCTCTAAACCCCCGTAACTTTATGAAAAATGATGACAGGTGAAATATCTTTTCAAATTTGAGCTCAGGACAACAATACTTTTCGAAAGTTATAAAAAAAATCTGTCAAAAATGGCTAGTTAAAAAGTCTGAAGAAAAAAAAACCCACCCCGAGCACAAATATTCCGTTACTTTCGTATCGAAAGTCGGAACAAAAATGGACAGTTTTTGGTGCCTCAAGAAGCTTCCTAAAATTAAATTACTTCTTGATCTAAGTATCCTGTTTTCACTGACTGGTCCTAGTAAAATATGAGACCGATATGGGGATCAAAGGAGCATTGAAAAAATTCCCCTTTGAAATATGTATGGAAACAATGGCGCTAAATTGCCTGCAGTGGTGAATTTTAGCTACATTCAGACCATAAATTTAGTAGCAGATACAAAAGAATGTCGCATACAGCAGTTTCTAACAGACAAAGAAAGTCTTATTGATCGAACTACTTATTTTCTATCAAGCTATAAACTCTAAGTTCAAATATCGATATGGTATCACAGTTTCGATTCTCTTATGAAACCGTACATATTTTCTTTGACTCATTTTTCGTTTCAGGTAGTCAACTCGGATCCGCCTTACAAGCCCTCGTTTGGAAATGGATAGCTTTTGATGGTTCTTAATTGATTTTACTTTATTTGCCTAACAGAACTGTGAAATTCGACTCCGCGAAAACATCGTTCTCAGATTACTTTGGATTAAATTACGACAACATAATTACATCTGCAGCTGAACTAACTTTTTACGAATATTCATTTGAAAAGTATTTTCCGTTTGAAAAAAAAACGGGCTATCACTAGAAACTTACTGATATTAACCACGCCTCTGCCTTTTGCGCATAATTAAATTATTATTGTTCTGTTCTGACGTATTTTTATTCTATGTTACTTTTAGAAGCCTGGTCAGACGAATTAGGCTATAAAATTATATATTCGCTATAATAACCACGTAGTCATTCTTTTGCAGTCTCAATAACATTGTCTAAGGACAGTCTGAAAACAATTACCATTACTTCGAAAAGCAAAAAATCAACGGCAGCGTTTGTTCATTTCTAGACCAACATATTTTCGAGAAAAAAAACGACATTCAACATAATTTTTTTTGAATAAAATTAATTCTTTTATTCAAAATGAAAGCTGTGTTTCCGTCTGACTGTTTGAGTTGGATTAAATTGCCGGTGTTAATGTTATTACTGCTGGTCGTCTTTCTGAGTCAGCCAGCTCCAGTGGTTTCCAGTGGCAATGTGACTGACGCCACTGAGTGTACTACTAGCAGTGGGGGTTGTAACAAAGACAAGGACGGAATTCTGCTCCCTGTCTGGCGTCCTTTCGGGCCCTCCACTGGTCAGAAGGTACTGAGGGGGGCTGTGTATCTGCTAGCACTGTGTTACATGTTCCTAGGAGTAGCGATAGTGGCGGATAAGTTCATGGCTGCAATTGAAGTTATAACCTCAAAAGTAAGTGAACTAGTTTGAACAACAGCTTTGAACATGCAGAACAATATAGACCTTTTAAATAATATTAAATAGCAAACCGTCAAAAATAATGTATGATCATGGGCGGATCTTGGATTCTCTCGAGGGGGGGGGGGGGGGTTCGGATTTTCAAAAAATTTCGAAAATTTTGACCTCCTTTTTTTTTGAGGTCGAGCAAATTGATTTTCCGAGCTCTCCTAAAGCACAAAAAAACGCTGTCATGGCCAAATTTTGTGCGCCGCAGGCAAATTTTAGAAAAAAAAAACAGGTCAACTTTTTGGGCACTTTTTGGAAAATTTTGACAAAAAAATCGCATTTTTTTGGCGCGCGCTCCCCCTCAAACTTAGTATATATTGGCGCCAAAGGCGCCTTTGCAAAATTTTAGGGTCGGTGGACCAAATTTCTTAAAAAGTACCAAAGGGGGACCCTTTGGGTCGGCAGAGGGTCGAATCTCTGAGGGGGGGGGGGGCGTCCCCCCTTTCCTAAATCCGCCCCTGTGTACGATGGTCGCAACATACCTTATTTGGGTCGCGCAAAGTCGCAACATATCTTCTTTGGGTCGCGCAAAGTCGCATAAAATTTCTTCGGTCGCGCAAAGTCGCAATGGTTGCAACATACCCAATTTGGGTCGCAATGGTCGCAACATACCCATTTTGAGTCGCAATGGTCGCAACATACCCATTTTGAGTCGCAATGGTCGCAACATACCCGATTTGGGTCGCAATGGTCGCAACATACCCATTTTGAATCGCAATGGTCGCAACATAAGTCCCCGAACCTCAACCCTGATAACATTACACCCATCTGAACTACGAAAACGTTTGTCTTTGGTAATATTTATCTCATATTTCTCAATATTTGGCTTATATTGAAGATAATTTAAGTTTTTCTTTTTTGTATAAATTCTCATATGCATGTTAAACGCTAGCTAAAGTTTCTAATTTTTTGGCTTTTGGCTGATCAGTTCTAAGACAATGGGGGCCTATTTGGTGCCAATATGCTGTAGTAAAGTGATGTGGTTACTATGGATCGGTGGTGAAGTGGTTACCTCTCCGCCTCTCGAACGAAAGGTCGGATGTTAGAGGCCCATCATGCGATTCGACGTAATGAGCTGTACAGCTCGTACGTTGGTCCTATCCCTCGTGGATAAATGATCTTAAACTTCAGAGATCGAGCGGAGCTTTTGGTCCAAACCCCCATATTAAGAAATACATTTTTGCTTTTAACGAAAGCTTTGCTTGTAAAATCTTATCACGTCTCAGAAAATGACGTCAGCAGTGGTAGGTAATTGGAGGATGTCCTTTCCCCTTAACTCATAGACGCCCCCCTTCATTTAGGATAAAAATGCGCGATATATTTCGTGCTATTAGCGCGTATGCGGAGGTTTAACCTGTCGTAGAAGTCGTTCCAAATTAAACTTGAGGCAAGCTATTTAGTCTATTTATTTATTTTTTTTTCAGTGCGTGTCGGGGGATGATTTTCAAAAAAAAAGGTTTAAAAAAAGTTTGAAGAAGTTTTGTCATTATTTGCAAACTTTATCAATTTTTAAAAGCGAATGCTACTCCGTCAACCTTGAAAGGCATTGGGAATATTCAGGGCTTTGACCTGATGCGAGCAGTTCTGTTTTATTTTGTTCACTCTGATTTTTTTGATCAAAATAAAAATTTGCAAAGAGTTTTTTTTATATAGTTATTGACTACCTGAATTCAAATTTTAAAGAATGTTTTATATGCCATCATTTTTGATAAAGTTCTGGGGGTTTGAAAAATGCCAATTCTGGACTTTTTTGGACTTATTTATGCACGCTTTGAAGATTTTATATTCTGACTTTGTATTCTGAAAGCCTGAATTATTAATGCGTGACGAATTGAATGAGACAAGCTAACTTTTCAGATTGCTTTTCGGGGGATTGGATATTAAGTATACAGGTAATTGCATCTAAAAACCAGAAAATAGGAAATTCAGACTAACTTTGTTTGAAAAAAGAACATGAAACTCAGACTACCTTTGTTTGAAAAAAGAAGGGTGAAATTCAGACTACCTTTGTTTGAAAAAAGAAGGGTGAAATTCAGACTACCTTTGTTTGAAAAAGGGTGAAATTCAAACTACATATAATTTGAGACAAAAATTAGTGCATCGCAATTCGTGCGCACAGAATTGGTGATCAGCCGCTCTCCGATGGTGTAATAAACAGGACCGAAAACTGATTACCCCCTAAATAGTGACCAGTCCCACCCGAACTCTAATGGATTGAACAATAAACTGATTGCCACCTAAATAGTCATAAGACCCACCCGACCTGTAATGGCTGGAACCGATCACATCCCGCCGCAAAGTTTTATTGATTTATGGGCTTTCAGTTTATAGCTACACGGGTTGTTCACCTGATTTGTCTTACATTTTTTCCTTTTTTCAATTAATTTTTTTTACATTTTCAATGTCCATGCTCCAAATTCCTCTATAACGACTCAAATTTGATCGCTAAATATATTGATAAGTGCAGTCTAAACTTCTTAGTTTAACGAAAGTTTTTTCACCGAAATCAATTTGAAACCAGTTAAGTGCAATTATCACTTGCGATTTTCTCGACCTTAGAAAAACGTTTGGAGAACCCCCCTTGGGAAATTCCGATCTCCGATCCTGAAGTGGATTTAGGGGGGGGGGGGGGGGGGGGGGCTGGGGACGGACGCCCCCTTTAGGGATTCGACTCCCTGCCGAACCAGAGGGTCGCTCCCCACTTTGTACTATTTTGAGACATGCATTTTTGGCTGACTGACCTTAAAACGTTTCTAAAGAGCTCAAGCCGAAAAAACACGATTTTTTTGTCCAAATGTTCCAAAAAGTGCCTAAAAACATCTTTTTTAAAAAAATTTGCCTGTGGCGCAGAGAAATTCTTAGATCCGCATCTGCCTGAACATCAGGATTCAGTTCTCACTGCTGCAATTTCATTGTAAACTGCGCTGCATAATTTGACCTAAACACTTGAACAATTTTTATTGCTTCAACTCTTTAAGCTAAACTGATCCCTCTCAGGAAGAAGCTAAATTGTTCTTTATCCGGTCAGTTTAAACCAGATCTTTTTTTCTTTTATGTATTTTTTGCTTTGGCTTTTGGTTTTTTGGTTGATTTCCACAGGTAGTTCTTTAATCAGTAAAGAAAGCCTTTCAGCCGCTGTTACATTGATTGATTAACTAGTCTCATAAAAAACGTGTTCCCTTCAAATCAAGGCCTGAAAAATGCCGCAAAATTCACGAAGGATTATAAAAATAAGTCGCCAGCTTTCAGATGTTTAAAGCTTAGACGGAGAAAAATTATTAGATGGTTATATTTATAGGTTAGATATATCCCCCAATCAAATTATTATAACCAAAACATTATTGCTGTTAAAACAATACCTGATAATCAGAACCTTTTCTGCCAAGAGCGATATGTCATACTAATTCCGATTCAGACTTTTCATAAATTGTGAAAAAGAAATTTCGATGAAAGAAACTTCATGTCAAGAAAAATTGGTCTGAATAGTTTATCCTTTTTCAAATTAATTTGAGTATAGTAAGCTCTTTCCACGCAAGATCACTTAGCACAAAGGCTCTGGTCTCGAACTGCTCGACCTGGTGTGAATTGTTTTCTTGTTAAAATTTTTTTGATAAATTAAAGTTTTGAGCAGTCAATATGAAATACAATATCAAATATAATTTGAATCGTATACCAAAAGAAGACGGCGGCTTGCATCAGGGCGAAACCCTGAATGTTCCGACTGCCTTTTTAGGCCTATGAAGCAGTGTTCGCCGAAAACAATTGATGAAATATAAAACCAAAAAAAAAATCATGAAAAATTTTTTTTTCAATTTTTTTTCTAGGTTTTTACATCATCCACACGCCATATAAAAAAAAACAAAATGATAAATTTTGCTCCAGGTAACGTATCAATTATGGCAAATAGCCTGCTTCAACCAATTTGGAACGATTTCTACGCTAGATTAAAACTCCGCTTACTCGTTAATAGCGCGAACTATATCACATATAAATTTGAGCTTAGGACAACAAAAATTTTTCTAGAGAATAAAAAGACTGCTCGTATACTGAGCAAAACCCTGAATGTTACGACTGCCCCTTAATTGAATAGTTTTTTCTATATTAGAAAATATCGAATAGTTTTCGGGAAAAGGAAATATTGAAAAACTATATATTTTGGACAATAATAAAAATCAACAAAGCTGCTCGTATCAGGGCGAAGCCTTGAATGTTCCGACTGCCTCCTAAGGTCCATGGAGCAGTAAAATTTCGAAAAAATTAAATGTAATGCACAAAAGTGAATTTTTTTTTAATATGAGATTTTTTGTGAAAATCATCCCCCCCCCCCACACGCCACATAAAGTACAAAGTGATAGATTTTGCTCTTAGTTATGAAACGATTATGACTAGACAGCTTCCTTCAATCATTTTGGAACAATTTTTGGGACGGATTAAATCTCCGCTTAAGCGTTATTAGCGCGAAAAATATTGCGCGTTAATTGTCTCTATTGGCCAAATGACAATCTTTAAACCCCAATAACTTTACAAAAAATGATCACAGCATGGTCAAATTGGCACTTTTCTTTTTTTTCATTTGATTTTAGGCTGTCAATATTTTCAAGGGGGTATAAAAAAATTTTGTTTAATAGTGCGGAAGGGGGAGGGGTTGTGGATTTTCAAAAAACTTTCGAAAGTTTTATCGACCTTTTATTAAGTCGTCCAAATTGATTTTCCGAGCTCTCCCAAAGTAATAAAAAGACCCTGTTTTGGTCAAATTCTTTGAGCCGCAGGGCGCAAAAATTTTGAATAAACAGACCAAAAAGGCCTTTTTAGGCACTTTTTGGAAAAAAAATTTATCAAAAAATTGCTTTTTTTGGCGCGCGCTCCCCCTCAAAATTAGTATATATTGGCGCCAAAGGCACCTTTAGAAAAGTTTTATGGTCCGTCATCAAATATGGATGTCTCAAAATAGTACAAAGGGGGACTCTTTGGGTCGGCAAGGGGTCGAATCCCTGAGATGGGGGGCATCCGCTTCTGGCTTCCAGCATATTTTATAAATTTTTTCTGTTCATTGGAGCATCAATTTTTTTAGCTGACCTCTACCATAGCCGATGCATGTCTAATAATGAAAGCAAATTTTGAATTGTCAAATTTTGATAAAAAAAAAGATGGACCCGAACGCAATTTAACACGACACGAGCAAATTAGACCAGGGGCGGATCTAGGATTTTCACAAGAGGAAGGGCTTTTTTCAAAAATTTTTTGAAAAAACAGACCGAAAAATTGCGTTTTTTCGGCGTGCCCTCCCCCTCAAAATTAATAATTAGTGGCGCCAAAGGCACGTTTAGAAAAATTTTAGGGTCCGTCAGCCAAAAATGGATATTTCAAATTAGTAAAAGGGGCACCCTTTGGGTCGGCAGGGGTTCGATTCCCTGAGGCGGGTGCCCCCCATACCCGCTGGTGATTTAGACAGCTAGAACAAGATTATGATTAACTAGGGGGTTTGACAACAGCTTTCCGTAAACAGAGAAGCTCATATATTTTTTTTCCGTGGAAAAATTGTCGTTTTGTCCTAACTTAACTTATTTTTTGCTCAAAATCACTCCATTTGTTTTAGGAAAAAGAAGTGATTTATACGAATGCGGAGACAGGCGAGAAACACGTGGTGAGTGTGCGAATATGGAACGAGACTGTGTCCAACCTGACCCTCATGGCCCTGGGGTCCTCCGCCCCCGAGATTCTCTTGTCATGCATCGAAATTGTCGGCAGCGAGTTCCAGGCGGGAGACCTCGGACCAGGAACCATTGTCGGATCCGCCGCCTTCAACCTGTTCGTTATCATCGCCATTTGCGTGATTGTAATTCCGAATGGTGAAGTGCGTCGCATTGAACATCTAAGAGTGTTCGTCTGCACCGCTACGTCTAGTGTTCTAGCTTATATTTGGTTATATTTAATAATCGCGGTTATTACTCCGGAAAAAGTGGATGTCTGGGAAGCAGTCATTACTTTTGCATTCTTCCCACTGCTTGTTGGCCTTGCTTATATTGCAGACAAACGACTCATACATAAAATCATTTTCGGTAAACGTTACTCAGCTGAAAAAATTGAAAAATTTGACGACCACGATATGGAAATGGCTGAAAAAAATGGGTCCTCTGATAAAAACGACAATAATTACATGAAAAACGACAAAGTGAACAAAAACTCAAATCATGCCTCAAACTCAAGGTTAACTGACTCGAATATTGAACAATATAGCGCGCAAGAAGAGAACAAACGAGACTACATTAAAAAACTAGAAGAGGTGCGAAAACAAAACCCCGACTGGTCTGACTCCAGAGTTTCACAGCAAGCCGCGCTGGACATTTTAGCCCACCAGAAGAAAAGTCGGGCTTACTACCGGGTGGCGACCACACGCAAAATGACTGGTGGTGGAAATATAGTCAAAAAGAATCTGGAAAAACGAACTTTCGAGCGGGAAAACGAGTTAAACGTGGTTATTGAAAACATCGAAAATTTTTCTCGGGTTGCTTTTGAACCGCCAAATTATACAGTTATGGAAAACGTCGGAAGTTTCGATATAAATGTCCAGAGAATCCCAGGAGAAGAGGACAAAAATTTGGATTTCTACACTTACGTTGATTACAAAACAGTCGAGGGCTCGGCCAAAAGGGACACTGATTTTAAATATCAAGAAGGAACTTTAGTATTTGAGCCTAAACAGGATTCAAAAACTATTGCAATTGAAATAATAGACGACGAAGATTTTGAAGAAGACGAGCACTTCAAGGTCATTTTGTCTAACATTCGCAATTCGCGAGAAAAAGATGGCCCAAATCAAAAAGATTTCGGTTGCCAACTTAGCAACGAATGCCGTGAAGCTGTCGTCACTATTCTAGATGATGATCATCAAGGGGTGTTCGGGTTTGAATCCGAAATGATACAGGTCCATGAAAACATGTCGGAAACAGAGATAAAAGTGAGCAGGCAAACCGGCGCCCGAGGCGAAATTCACGTACCCTATAAGACTATAGAGGGTTCAGCTAAGGAGGGGGTTGATTTTGAAAAGGCAATTGGGGAGGTTGTATTTGCCGACAACGAAACAGAGGCGACTCTCAAAATCCGAATCAAAGACAAGGAAGAATATTCTAGAAACGAGACATTTGGTGTCGAACTGGGAATTCCAAAGCGTGTCAAGTCTAAAGAAGGAAGTATATACGTGTACGAAGATGATTTCGAGACAGACGAGACGAAAATAAGTGAGAGTGAAAAGATTGCCTTAAAAGGAAGGCCGAAGCTCGGAAGTGTGAGCAAGTGCTGGGTGACGATTGTTCCGAGCAGGGAAATGAAAAGTGTGGTGGATCGGTTGATGAGGGACACTAACATGGGACAGGTGCTGAGTAGCAATAGCTGGAAGGACCAGTTTCTGGAAGCAATCACCATCTCTCCCTCCGGAGATGACGAAGATGGGGCAAATGTTGGCTCCGACGATTGCGCAGGTTATTCATATTTTTTTGTCAAGTTTTTGACAATATATGCGACCTTGAACAACTTAACAGACAAGGAAACACATTTTTTTTAACGTCTGAAATGGGTAGCAATGGCTCGAAACATCAAAAAGAACTGTTTTACTAATTAACTTCGTTCAGATTGGTTGGCTGAAATTGATATTACCAACAATTTAATATTAGAAATATTTTTGTCAAATTTGATTAAAGTCTGTGAGACGTGATTTATATTTTGAATTTTTGCCCTGATCTTTTTGTCCTAATCACACGCAAACCAAATACTTTGTTTCAAACTTCCACGAACATCTTGTCATCTAACATTGAACATGAAGTTTAAATATCTTTGATTGTTCGACTTTGTGAAATATCTTCAGTGACATGATGAATTTTTGATTTGTGACATGATGAAACAGATGACATGATGAAACAGATTTGATTAAAATTTTGCTTTTTTCAGATGATGCCGACAGTCCTCCCAAGACACCTTCGATACTCGATTACGTCATGCACTTCCTCACTGTATTCTGGAAAGTCCTGTTCGCTTTCATCCCCCCAACCGACATCGCGGGGGGTTACGCTTGCTTTGTAGTGTCCATAATAGCCATAGGGTTCATGACGGCCGTCATCGGAGATTTGGCCAGTCACTTTGGATGCACTGTCGGACTCAAAGACGCCGTCACTGCAATTTCCCTAGTCGCCCTTGGAACCAGTCTCCCAGATACCTTCGCCTCCAAAACCGCGGCTTGTGGGGACGAAAACGCCGACGCTTCGGTCGGAAACGTCACAGGATCAAACGCCGTAAATGTCTTCTTAGGAATCGGAGTTGCCTGGTCAATTGCCGCCATTTACCACGAGATCAAAGGCACAGAGGGTGGGTTCCACGTAGACCCTGGAAGTCTGGGGTTCTCAGTGACCGTTTACTGCGTTCTGGCTGTGATATGTCTGGCAACTCTTTTCCTAAGACGCTTTATCAAGAGTATTGGGGCTGAACTTGGAGGTCCAGTTGTGGCCAAATACGTGACCGGACTGTTTTTCATTTCCCTTTGGTTGACTTATTTAGTGCTCTCTTCCCTTGTGTCTTACTGTGTAATAGAGGGATTTTGAGCGGATCAAAACTTTAATTTGTATTAAAAATTGGTATTTCTTCGTATCTTCAGCTATATTTCTATTCATAACGTGAATAATTATTTGTGTATAGAAATAACTTTTGTGGTATGAAGTCTTCTACAGATTCAAACTGATATAATTTTGTGACCCATTTTGCCTGCAAGCTTCCTGACTTAATTTGAAATTAACCGAACATTTTCAATTGTTATAGACCTGATATCAATTTATTTAAAAAAAAACAGAGAGAGGCTTGGCGGCAAAAATTTACTTTGTGCGTTAAAAATTTTTCAGAATTATTGAAAATCGATTTATTCTTCTTGACTCTTGAACTTTTTGTGTGAATCGGACTTCCTTCATCAGTGCCCTATTATGCCAATACCAAAACCTATTTTTTGAATTATTGCACAAAGGTTGGTATAACCACATATTTATCTACCGTTAGCAGAACATTTTGTTTCAACCCCCCAGAAAAGACTTGTCTGATTTAATTTCTTTCAACTAATGGCATTTTTTATAGAGCGACAGACTAATCTTGTTATGTAAGTGCAGCTCCAAATGATAATTTCTGGTTAATAGATCTCCACTGTTTTCTATTTTTAATTCTATTAAGTATCATGATTTAATAAATAATTCAGTTTTCAATTGAAAAGCGAGCTGGATATAAAGTTGAATATACTCGAAAATTCGACTCCCCCAAGGAGTTTGATCCCTTTCCAGAACAAAGGATCACCTCTTTCACGCTCAATGGTACAATTATGTGCTATATCTATTTTCGGCTGAATATTCCTAAAAATGTTCTAAATAAGCTTTGGGCGCCAATATATACTAATTTTGGGCCTAGACTTTGCCTTTGGTCTTACTGATGCGCAGCTGGTTTTTATGAAAATCCTAGACTTACCCCTGGTTTTATTAATACGCAGCTGGTTCTTCCACGCTTCCCCAACCAACCGTTAAAATCATACCTATGGAGATTCAAACAGACTAGTTTTTCCGGTAATCAAAGCCAGCCAAAGTGCAGCCATAGAAATCAGCCAAAAATATATACCGAGGAGGTAAATAAAAAGTATTTAGGACTTATGCTACCTTTAAGAATATGATGCAAATGTATGCTTTTTTTCACTTACTCCCCCCCCCATCTCAAGTATTGTCGCCTTACGTAAAACTTATGCATGTTATTACGGCTAAATGAGTCAATTTCTTTGTAAGATATGAAGGACAAATATGTTCAGGATAGTTAATTGGTTCAAAAAGCAAAATATTCTACAAAATTATGACAATTTCAAATAAATTTTCAAAATTTTTCGAAGGCTGTAGAAAGTAGGGTAAGGAAAAAAGAACGCAGGGAATAAATGAGGTCATAAAGGGTAGTGGGCGGACTTCCCTTTGGTACCATTTTTAAAAAAAATGATAAGGTAGTATTTGAGAAAATTTATATTTTGTGAAGAAAGTGAAAAAATTTTCCAAAGCGTCTCAAAAAATCATAATAATAAAAAAAACATTTTCGTAATATCTGTTCTTATCAAACAGCAATTTTTGTGTAGTTTAATAATTTCTAATGACCTGAGTTTAAAAATAGAAGCCTATGCTTAGTTTTGAAAAAGCAGGAATATAGGATTGTTTAGTCAAAACAGTTTACATTTCTAGACGCTATTTAAATCACTTTGTACTTAATGCAGCATCTCAAAAAATGTAAAAATGATTTAAAAAACATTAGGTTAAGGCTGGCGACCCTTGTAATGGCGATCCCTCGAAAGAATTTTGTTGTAAAAAGTTATAAAAACTTCACGCGCATCTGACTCGAAATTCAACTATGAGATTTTGATGGGTGAAATAAATGGGTGTCCTAAGCTTAAACTTGAAAAGATAGTTCACCTGTGATCTTTTTTCGTAAAGTTACGGGGGTTTAAAGTTTGTCATTTTGGCCAATTTGGGACAATTAACGCGCGATATGTTTCGCGCTAATAACACGGAATCGGAAATTTAATCCTTAGAAATCGATCCAAATTGGTTGAAAGAAGCTTATTTGCCATAATTGATTTGTTACAATGAGCAACATCTATTCTTTTGTTTTTATATGGCGTGTGGGGTGATGATTTCATAAAAAAATATATAAATTAAAAAAAAAAATCTTTTCACTCTATTTTTTTTTGCATTTATTTTTTCATGTTACTACTGTTCCATAAAACTTAAAAGGCAGTCGGAACATTCAGGGCTTCGCCTTGATACGAGCAGTCTTGTTTCCATTTGGATTGGAATGATTTTTGAGATAGTTTGCGTGATATAGTTTGCGTGATACTTTCTACATGTATATTTTGAACGACCACCTTAGTTTGAATTGTTTCAAATTGACCAGACAACCAGGATAAAATAGTGGTAAGAGCGCCTGGCAGGGCTTACGTATTTCCAGGGATTGAGGCTCATGAGAAATTTTTTTTTGAAACTGGTCTGAAAAAAAACAACCCCAAGCATATTTTCTTCTTTTTGTTCGAAATTCGCAAGTAAAAGTTTAGCTCAATGACATTACTCAGTCCAGAATATATGGGACTGATTATCCGTAAACAGGCTGCTCGCAGCTCATGCTAAATTCTCTGCGATTTGCAGAAAATAATTTTTTAGAAAAAGTGTAAACTGAAAATCAGTTTTTCTTTCTTATCATCTTATTATTTACAGCGCTTTAGAGCGCTAGCTAAGCGCTTAGGACCAAATCAACATATTTGCAGCCAAACTGAAAGCAAAAAAAAAAAATGGAAATAGCATTTAGTCTCACCTTAAACATACTATATCCTGCTGATTGTAAAACTTTTCAGACTTATTCCGTTTTTCAAATTTTTTCTAGAATTTTTTTCGTCTAAGTTGAATATTTTAAATTACTTTTTTGACCAAAAGAAACTGACGAGGAAGAAAACATAAGATACGTATTACACATCACAGAATTTGAGGATACTTGTCAAAACATTTGAAATTGCATTCACATTTGTACCAGAGGCAAAACAATTTAGGATATCTAAAATTGCCAACGGAAAAAGCCAAAATCCATTTTTTGAGGAATTTTTTTTTGAATAGGAAATAAGCTATGGTTTATGTTACGTTCAAGCATTTATTTCTGAGTCAATACGCTATTAATTAATTTCAAGAAACCATTAAAAGGATTTTAAAATGAAAATAAAATTATTTTCAAACATAGTTTATTTAATAAATTCTGGATCTACTTCACTTAAAGGATCTTGTTAATAATTTCCCACCAAATGTAAAAAGACTAGATTCGTTTAAAAATTCAAAAATTAGTAAATGAGCTAATAAATGATCATTTTGAGGGTTGATATTCGCATTATAGCGGGTGTGTGGATAGTGGATTGTTAACAAGATCCCATTTCATGTTTTCCTTCTTTCATGGATGGATAAAAATTACGTCCTGAGTGGAGCATGAAAATTGATTGGTTCAATTTTTTTCACAGAAGTAACTTTGTTATCTGCATCGTCTGTCTGGATTTTTCTTCTGGCCATGAAAATAGCCTTGGGTACAGAAACTGTCTGACAAGCTATGGATCGCATCAAAACTGGCTCTGGTCCAGCTACAGTGCTTCTCCGAGTTGCAGAGAGAACAGAGTCGCGTGGTCTTGTCTTGAACTCAGTAGCACTTGCACGTTTGGACCCAGGTAAGGGCACCAGACCCAAAACACCTCCTCTGTATCCGGCATACTGCTTCGAAGCTCTTGTTCCGAATACGTTGCTGGTGTCTGAAATACAAAAAAAATCGTTCTCTATGAGTTTTATCAATGTGTGAAAAACTAGAACTTCTAAACTCGGACGTCGCAAAACTCAAAAGTAGGCTAGTGTGTTGTGATCAATCTTACACTAGCAAACTTAGCAAGCGAATCGAAAACAGAAAACAACTTCTGACTTTTTTCGCCGAATTTTTGTACCGTATATGACAATCAACTCAAAGAATCACGTCAAAAACATTTTAAAACAAATAAAAACCAATTTTTGAGCAATGACGAGCTCAACGTGGTCGCTAAATTTACTAACAGTTTCGAATTAACTATATATATTTAGTGTTTGAAACAAATATAGATACTGCCGAAATTTGGTCATGTTGAGCTGTTCAACTCCCCGCTTATATAAAAAGAATTGTTTTTCCACATAGGTTTTTGATATTGTTCACGAGTTTTTTTGAACTGACTAGTTTCGATGGTGGTATGCGACTTGATAGTAGTATAAACAGTCGGCTTCTCCACTTGGAACTCCGCCGCCTGAGGCCCCACCCCCATGTTGGAGGCAGAGTTCAAAATACGCATCAGGTGGTGAATCAACACTTCCCTCTGGCCAGCCGAGGACGAGGAGGCTCCAGCTGATTCTTCATCTGGGTTGGAGTCCACTGTATTCGGTTCTCGTTTGGACGGGTCAGGCGGCAAACTCAGTTTGATTGCTTTGGCAGTATCTGACAAAAATTAAAAACTAGTTATATTCATGTCACATGTATCATATATTACCTTTAACAGTAGCAGCGTTAAGGGGGAGCGGGATTAGCGACCCCTTTCCTTGTCCGCCAAACACTGGTTGCCAAAGTTTCAGAGGATTTTTTTCTAGTACAATTTCATTGACCCCGATTTTGACCAACATCTAAATTTCTCTAAAGTAATAAGAGTTGAAGCCAAACCAGATAGATTCTAGCAATATCAATCATTGGGTATCTTTTAAAACTGAAGATCAAGAGCAAAACATCTATCTATAGTATCTTCTAATCGGGGCTGTGTATATTAGGCGAAAATTATATTAGGCGAAAATAAAAGTGTTAAATTTAGGCGAATTATTTGATAATAACTCTGTTTTTTTTTAAAGCAAAATCCCCTGAATTTTCCAGAAGACATTGACAAGAAGCGGTTAAAGACTACAAAGCCGTTTGTCGGTTCAAGGTCGCGATAACCGCCTCTAATTTTCGTAAAGAGTCCTCTGTTGGCAAGCTCGCAACATGTCACTATTTTAACGTTGATTTGCTGTTTGAATAATATTACGTGTATTTTGTATGTAGCAATGAAATGACATAAGTAATCACATACAGTTTCTGCAAAATCTACACTTTTTTTTATCAAAATTTTTGCCTAATTTTAAGACTTCTATTTTCGCCTAAAATAGTTTTCGCCTAAAATAGCCGCCACTTCTAATCAATCAGACCCAAACTGCATTCACTGCAAGACTTTCCTCAACTGAGAGTTACAGTCCTTAAGTATGTCTTTTTCAAACCATACAGTTTCAAACTCACCTCGACATGAAAGAAGATCTTCAAAAGTTATACAATTTAAACATTAATATAGCAATAACATGACAATTTTCTGGCATTTTTTGAGAAAACTTCTTTTTAATAATTATTATGATATTTTTGTTCTCAAAATTTGTGAATTTGAAGCACAAGCGGTTGGGTGGCCCCAACTTTGATGCAGTCAAGTTACTTTTCTGGGGGGTATCGGTTAAAAAATTTGGAGGTATCGGGTTAACGTTTTGGTGGGAATCGGGGTTTTCATTTTTTGAAAACTGTTCCCACTCAAAAAACCATGGAGATATGTCCCCGTGGAATGAATCAGGGAGTTTTAATGCTAAATTCAATAAACATGTCTTTGATGGTGACCCTAGTCGATCAAGGGAGGTTATCTTGCAAGATCTTGCAAGATGGAGGTTATCTTGCAAGATTTTGCAAGATGGAGGTTATCTTGCAAGAATCTTGGAAGAAGGTGGCTATCTTGCAAGAATCTTGCAAGATAACCATCCCAAAATTTCTGTCGAAAAAGACAAAAAATAACAGAAACTAGGTGTAAGATCAATACAAGTTGATTCTAGAACGAGAATCCAAAACTTTTTCGAGTTGATCTGAAAAAAGCTTACATTTTTTTCAAAATTGACAATTTGAATCGTTAAAAATTATGCAGAGAGTGCTCGCGATAAATCATATGTGTTCTGTTTTGCAGTGATTCAAATTTTCCCGAACTCAGAAAAAAACTTCAAATATTTTTGATATTTGTTTTGTTTTTCCAATCAAAAAAAAAATGATCAAGTTCTTATTAGCTTTTAATGAGCCAAAATTTTTGTCAGTTTAATAGTTTTTTAATTAAAAAAATATATTTTTTTTCCAAAAAAATTACCCAGTAGCATCAAGCAACATTACCCAGCTCAGAAAATTAACCAAATCAATTGGATGTAGTTCTTAAGCAGGGGTGCAGCAACGATTCTCCGCGAAGAGCTGAAACCTTGTTTGTTGATTGTTTCCCTTGTGGATAAATAGTCTTAAAATTGGAATCTTTCGTACCGAGTAGAAGAGCCTCCAGTTTCCTTCTAGTTCTCCCCTCCTGTCTATTAGTCTCCTGGATCTCTTCTATCCTCTCTCTCAGCTGCTCATTGACCTCCTCTGCCCTGTCATGTCTCTCTCTCACCCTCTCCATGCCCACTATGCTCTCTCTGTGCTCCTCTATGGCCAACTCTAGCTCCTTACTCTGTGCCTCGTACTCCTGCACCAAACCCTCCATTCCTGAAACAAAACGGACAGTAAAGTATCGGCGGTGAATCAATATAAATTATGTTCAGGCGGAAAATATACAAAGTTCACTATAAATGACAGTTTACTATATTTAGCACAACGTGGGAGATCGCCATTGAATCAACAGACCCGTTGTCAGGTGTCTATTGGTCTGTTTTTAAGTAGTTTCGTCTCCGCCTCTCAATCAATAGCTCGGATGCTCGAAACCCCACTATCAATTTAGTATACATTGAAACTTTTAGAAAAAACGCCTTTAGGAAAATTTGAAGACTGGTCGGTGAAAATGGATGTCATAAAATAAAACCAAAAGGGGCCCCATCGTTTTCCTAAAGGAACTTTTTCTAAAGGCGCCGATGTATACTAATATTGAAGAGGAGCGCGCGCCGAAAAAAAAAATTAACTATTCAGTTTCACCAAGTAGTTACCATCCAAAATATCTCAGTCGAAGCCTAGAAGTATTTATAACTCATACACGACTGCCCCCTCCACCCCCCCCCTAACACCGCCGCCCAAAGTAATACAAACAAACATGATTTGACATTTTTTGACACTTGTGTAGCAAGAGTTGTAAGGTTTTTGACAATGTACTTAGTCTTGATATATTTTGAGTCCTAATTTGCTTACATGTATTTCAAGCTGCACTTGAGATTTGAAAAAATCAACAAAACTCCAAAAATAGCAGGTTCCGAAATTAAAACGCTACATCTTCAAATAAGTGTAACCTTTGGTAAGTGGTGAGACGAAAATACTATACAGACGCGTTTAACTTTAGTGAGTAAGGCGTAATTGAAAAAAAAAACATATACAACAAAAAATAACATTTCTGAAAAAAATTTAAGAAATTTTTTTTTTGATTTTTTGATTTTTTTTGCTGAATTTTTTGCTTAATTTCTGCCTTAACTTCTGCTTAATTTTTTTTCCAGAATCTAATTTACATTAGAAGAAGCAGCAAATAAACCCTTCCAAACCTTACGATCTCACCACATGGCTACCCCCTTTGGTACTATTTTAAGGCATCCATTTTCGGCTGACCGACCCTAACGTTTTCTAAAGGCACCTTTGGCGTCTATATATACTATATTGGACAAGGGAGCAAGCTAATACGGTGTCAAAACTTTCCACAAAATTGCCTAAAAACAAGTTTTGCGGCCTGTTTTGTCAAAAAATTGCCAGCGGCGCACAACATTTTGTCAAGACAGGTTCTTTACAGCGATTTAGGAAAACTTTTTTAAAATAGCACTTATTTAAAATCTGCCCCCCGCCCTCGAAAAAAACCTGAATCTTCTCCTGGAAATAAGCATTGAAAGTTTCAGAAGAAGCCTTGAAAAGTTATTTCTCGTAACAGAAATTTCGTTTTCAAACTTGTGAAAGCAAGTTTTCTATGGTTGCATACCTTGTTTGTAAAGACTCTTGACCTAATTTTAAAAAGTGGATATGAAAATGGACTTAAGGTGTACATAATTAAATATTTGTGATATTAGGGCTACATAGAGGTCTACTTAAGAGAGTGCGAATTTATAAAAACCAAACAAAAGCAGTATCAGATTTTTGACAGCTACACTTGGTCTGCTTATTTGACAGTTGCTTTGGTAGGAAAATCTCGAAATTTTTTTGAAAGCCCTATTAAATAATCAATTTGTTAAAATGGGAGTTTCTTTGATTCAGTACTTTTATTGTAAGGCTAGTATTTCACTCAGAACTTTAAGGTGTTCATGGGTAGTTATATAGAATTTTTCATGTATAATTTAGATGGTAAAAAAATTGAAGGGCCTTGATATGTTACATTTGTTTAGTTGTTAAATTTTTCTTGACGCAACTTCTTATCCATACGGATATATATGATATCCAATAAAAAGAACAACAACTACTGAAACAGAATTATACTTCAGACTGACGAATAACAACTACTAAAACAAAATTATTTTTCAGACTGACGAATGATCAACACCTTCAGTTGAACCTATAAGAGTAATTATAAAAAAGCACCTATAAAACTGAATTCCATAAAATAGTCAAAACAGGTCTCTGTCTTTCAAATGTTTCGATGTCAGTTTCGATTGGACCTAAGCCTAACTGAATGAATTTTCTGAATGATTCGTTCTTCTCTTATTTTTCTCGTCAACGCATGGCTTATGTCTAGTTGCTTACCGATTATTATCACGCTATCTCGTGAGTAGTACATGGCGCAGCCAGCAGTTCAGAACAACTCACTAGGTACTTCACCATTTTGGAAAAATACCGTGGTTGAACCACCCACCGAGTGGGAAATAAGGAATCAACAAATATTTTTGAGAATTAACGCAAAAGCGGTATCATTCTCCAAAATGTATTACAAAATCTACCACCAGCGAGAAAACTACAGTAGCCGTTGTATGCGTATGCACTTCAAATTAACCGTGAAACAACACTCAAGCCAAGGACTGCAACCACAGAAACCAGGAACAAAAAGTATAATTGGAAAAGCAATGTATTCACATCGATAATTTTGGTCCAGCAGCATACCATGTGACGAGTCCCATAACAAAGTACGCAATTTTTATAGCTCTGCCTAGAAGCGAAACGCATATACGACTCAGTCAAAAAAACTAACCCAAAATGAAGATTCAGAAAACTACGACTAGAAAATTTTGGAGTCAGCTAACCACACAGTTGGTTAAACCGTGAAATGTCATTTTCGATTGATATGAAGCTTTTACTGGGAAATACAATTCAACAGAAACGCTGAAATTTTAGCACTGAGGTCTACCCGATCTATTGAAGAAAAGACACATTAAGTGCGTGGCTGGCCAGTACGGTGATCTAGAAGTAGAAATTATGAAGACCTTTTTACGGAGAACATATCCTAAGAAAATCAAACAGACCTTATGGCCAAAAATAAAACGCCAGAGCAGGCGTTCGACTATGGAATCAGGGAACAAGGACTAAAAAATCAGTTGCAGATAAGAAAATATAGACTAACGGTATCTGCAGGAGGACCAAGCTGAGAAGTGAACTCAAAATTAATTTGGTACTTTCAGAGACGCGGCGACTACAGAAACAATCAATTAAGTGGACGAGGACGAGCGTATTTCTTAAGATAAGGTTATCAAAGGACGACATCGGAACAAAAACAACTCTGCTTCAAGTGTGGAAATCCGTTCGGACACGGACACCAGCAGCAATTTCCAGCTTAAGACGAAATCAACAATTGGAGCACAAAACGCGGTCAATTTGCAAATCTGTGTAAATCCACAGACGTTAACGCAATACAGGATGAGCAAAATCAAGACCAACCGGTGCAGCAAAATAGACATAGCGGCATCGTTGTTTGTAAGGCTGTTTTTTAAAAAGATATTTAGGGTGTTCATGAGTAGTATGTAAGTGTTTTTTGGGGCCTAGGAAATTAGAAGATAAGCAAATTAGACGGATGATACAAAAACGAAAGTAGACGAAATGTACATTCTTACAGATCGCGCATTTTATACGAAAAAGCTATGAAAAGGAAAGGGCCAACAAAACTTTTTCTTAAGAGTCAAGTTTCATAAATACAAGAAGATCATAAATGTCAAAACCAACAAAACAATTGGTTTAAATTAACATAAAATTAAAAAATCCGAAAACTACCAGAGAGTTTTAAATTCACTAAAATTATGGATGATTGACTTGCAAAATTTTTGGTCACTGAAATTTAACTGTTGTCTGCAAACAATTTTATTTTCTCACGCAATTTGTCTGCAAACAATTTTAATCTCTCTCACGTTTGTCTATTTTCTCACAATTGCAGTTTCGCAAAATCGTCTAATTTCCCTATAAGTACCTCCGTCTAATTTGCTTATCGTCTTATTTCTCAACCCCCGTTTTAATAGATATGTACGTGTGTTTAGAGTGTTTACTTAGTGTGTTTAGTGTGTTTACGTTGATGCAAAATTTAAGGGCCTTATTGATATGTAAGAAATAATTTTGTCTGATTTTTGTTGTGAAGTTACTGTCGAAGTTCCTTTCGAAGGAACTACCAGGAGTTAGCATCTTGTCTTAGAAGCTTAAACTTCACTGAAAGACTTCCAGGAAAAAATTCAAGCCTGTTTTCAAAATAACTTTTTTGAAAAAACTTATGTTATTTTCTGTCTCCACAATGCTGTCTTAAGTTCAAATTCATTGAATATCAGTATTGTTGTTCTAAATTTTCATATTCTTGCTTGTGGCGCAGAAAAGAAGGCCAAATTATATCTTTTTAACTCCTGGCATTTTGAAAATGCCATTTTGGTTATTTTGGCAGTGCTCAAAATTTCAAGTATATATCATATTGCGTAGATGGGCCGTTACCTTGACCAAGCAATCAGTCCGAAGACACCATTTATATCTAGCTCGCCCCTTCTTCTCTCCCCCTCGCTTGTGTGACGCCACAACATTACCCCCCCCCCTTTTAACTGTATTGCTTGCCTTTACTCTTGTCGAGCATGACTCGAATTTGTTGGAGGTTCTTGTTGAACTTCTTGCTTAGTTCCTTCTCGTTGAATTCGAGCATCTCAGCCAAGAGTCTGTTCTGCTTGGCCCTGTACTTGTACGCGTCATTCTCCTCTATCAACGCCACAGTCCTTTCCGAGTACCTATACCACAGAAGAACGAAGATTTGATGAAAAGAAAGAAACAATATCTCGTGAGAAATAAGAAACCAAATATGTGCGATTTGATAGTTTATAGAAAAAGCTAGTCACAAAATTTACATCACCTTTTTTTGTAAATGGATGGAATGTTTGGAAAAGCGTATGCGTATTACATGACAAGCATTTTTCATAATATGGAATTGCATTTTTTTTTAGTTTTTTCATTGTATGGAATTGTATAATCCGGCACATTCGGATCATTTATTCACAAAGGAAAGGAGCAAAACAACACACGAGCTCCTCAGTTTTTTACGGAGAAGTTTCTCTATCCTACTCTGGTTAAAAATATTTTTGATAATTTTCTTGGCTAAGAATTGTTGCCTCGCATGAACGTGTTGTACTTGGTATTGTAAAATTAACAGAAGGTCTCAACAACAAAAAAATCAGCGAAAAAATTGAGCGATGAATCCATCGAATTTTCAAAATTTTACCAAAATGAAGGTGTTATGAAAGAGTTCAAGGCCAACGATATATGGCGTTATTGACGTAATAATGCTGGTGACGTTATTACACCAACATTTGTGAGGTAATACTGACTGCGACTGACCTCTGGAGACTCTTGTTGAGGGTGAGATTCTCTTTGAGTGCGCGTTTGTTGGTGTCATCCATCTGTTTGTCGGACACTTTCCTGAACTCAGTGGCCAGATTGGACACTTTGTCCGCCGCCTCCTTCCGCAGCCGGTCTTTGTCCACCACCATCTGGCGTTCCAGCTCATAAATCACCTAGAAGCAACACCTAAGACACTCTGAAAGGACACCGTTTCGATCGCACTTCGCCATCAAAGAAAAACCCACAAAAAATCTCTTTTATTTTGCAAAAGTCACGAAAAAAACTCCAGCATGATTGAATAACTGAATAATTATGAGTGTTTAACTAACTTATGGTTAAATCAACGGTGGCCGCTTTGAATTTCAAATTGTTGGCTTTAGAAAAAATAGGAGTCGATAAAATTTCCACCCACTCTTTGAGAGAACCCTTGATCGGCCCTATGTATTTGATATATACCTTCTGCTGTTCCTGCAGCTGTCGGTTCAGTTCCGCCTCTATCTTGTCGAACTTGGCCATCAGCTCAGCCCTCTGCACCTCGTACTCCTTCATGCTGCCCAGTTTGTTGCTCAAGTTCTCCCCCTCCGCACTCAAAACCACCTTAGTCTCGTGGTACTCCGTCTCTGAATGAACCAACTGTTGAACTTTTCAAGAGTAACAAAAACGCGCTCTTCTCAAATTTGAAAAACAGCTCAATACTGACGCTCAATACTGAAGTTTTGGTTTTTCTATTAGTTTTCTAAATAGCTTGAAAAAATTGTGAAATTTTGCTGGCACGGATCCACGGTTTTCCCGAAGCCCACCCTCTCAAATCAGCTGCTGCATGTTTGGATCTCACCATCAAATTCAGTTTTTACGGAGAAGAAATTTTCTTTTGTGATTTAAGGTATGTATGCATTTCTTTGCTATATAGTTTTTTTTATGATTTCTATTTTTTTGAATTACTTGTTAAAGTAGGGTTTGAAATTGAACTGTAGTTACCTAGTGACTGGAGCTGTGTCTCGTATGATTCCCTTTCCTGGTCTTTGACCTGTTGCAGTTCAAATAACCTCTTAGTCAGTTCCTGCAGCTCCGCACTCTTCTGCTGCAGCCTCTGGGCTAAATAGAAGTGAATGTCATCCTTCTCCACTCCCAACTGCTCCAGTCTCGTCACTTTTTCCCCGTTGTTCACTTCCAGAAGGTCACATGTTCTCTGATATTCAGCCGTCTGACGCTCAAGGTCAGATACCTACAAAATTGACTATTGTTAACTTACAACTTGATGGTAGACCTGAATTAATCAACCGCTGGGGGCTATTCCGATCCGCGAAGGACCGACCGCTTTGAGGTCGGGGACTTATAATCCAACCATTGCGACTCAAATTAGTCATTTTGCGATTTTGCGCGACCAAATGTTTGCGCGACTTTGATCGACCCAAAAGCAAGCATTTTGCTAATTCTTTTTAAGACAAAAGTAGGTATTTCTAGACTGTCGCGACCAATCTCGAGACCTTCGAACATTTTTGCGACATATTTTGAATATCAAATACAAATTAGGCTAATTAAGTTTTTTGCAATAAGATTCATTTCAAAAATAAGCAATAATCTGCAAAAAAAAATTCGCTAAATTTGCTAAAATCTGCTAAAATTAGCAATATTTTACTATAATTCCCAACCAATCATTGCTTTTCAAACTGTCCAATTTTATAGCTTTTTTTATTTTTTGAATACTGATTTCTGATTGGCTGGCGATTTTTTTGCCCATTCGGCTTTTCTCTCATGGAAATTCCACCCTGAGGGGTTACAAGGTTAAGTACGAAGACCAAATAAGTTTCTCATGGCTTGGTTATTGTCCGCATGCCATTTTTCAGAACAATCGGACGATGGAGATAATATTTTTACTTGTAAAAATTCGCAGGGAGGGGGTAGGAAAGAGTCGCAATCGATTAATTTATAGCCTAGTACTAAAAGTCTTTCTATAACCTATCAGGCAAATTCAAAAATTAAACGGCTCTTTTCCAGTTTCCCCCGCCCCTTTCAAAATACCGAGTTTTATGTTTGTTTTACGTGTTATTACGGCTAAATGCGTGATGTTACGCTGTAGACTTAAAATAGAGAAAGATAGGTAGAGTGAAAGAGTTAAAAATGCTAAAAGTAAGCAAATGACATGACTAACCTGTGCCTACATCGAAATGTAATTTGATAAGATTACCTTCCGATACAACTTTTTTAAGGAATGTAAAACATCAAAACTTTTTGATACCAGCTTTCTGAAAAAAAAATACTCCTGCAGTTTTTCTCGACCCTGAGTCATTTTCTGAAACTTTTTTTTGAAATCTGAACTATGACTGAAAACTTGGTGATACCAGCGTTCTAAAATTGAAATACTCAAACCAGTTTCTCTTGAGATCGAGTATTTTTTTTTTGATCGAATCACATTAGAAATCGTTTTAAATTGCATTTTGGAAACCGTACTTTAGCAGAAATTAAAGGAGGTACTGGTTAAAAGAATAATTTTTAGAAAAATATACATAATGTGGCTCTTTCCCCCCACCTGCAATTTTTTACATGTAAATTTGTTGACCACATTGTCCGATTGCTATGAAATATTACATATAGTCTAATAAGGCCACGACAAACATATTTGGTCTTCATACTCAACGTCGTAAAATCACTCGTTACACTAATATATTGAAGGTCGTGTGAGGTGGGGGGAAAAAGGAAAAAGAGCCCATAATGTAAGTTTGTGTGCAAACTTTGTCTCTATATTCTTTTGGGCTCTTTTTCATTCCCCCCCCCCCACCTCACTCAAACATGAATTTTATGGTCTAACGAGCGGTCTTACAAGGTTAATTATGGAGACCAAATATGTTTGTCATGGCCTAATTAGTCTACATGCCAATTTTCATGACAATTGGATAAAGTGAAAGGAAACTTCAAATATAAAAATTTGCAGGTGGGGGGGAAAAGGAAAAAGAGCCTTCTTTTGAGGTAAATTATCTGAGATGTTTTTGGCTTGGAAAGGTAAAAAAATATCTTCATTTTTGAGTGCAAAAGTGGACTTGCCTGTTTCATCCAGAACTCCTTGCTGTTCACGTCCAGCTCCTTGTCCTTGTTATGGTCGCTGATGGCACTGCGGATACTCTTGGCACTGGCCTTCCCACTTTTCTTCCCCTTCCCCCCTCCTTTTTTACCCCCTCCCTTCTTCTTACCCATATCTCCCACCACACGTCAATTAATATAGTTATAATCAGGTATAATCACTGAAGAATAACTAAGATATAAATGGCCACTGATCGGAATGGCAAGTCTATGACTTTCCGCTTCAATTTGAATAGTTAGTCTAAATCGATTCTATTTCTATTTTCTATCCGTTTTGGCCATTCAAATGTGACTTAAATTTATGTGTTATCAGAAACATGTACATTGTATAGTCTTCAATAACTAACAGTGAGCGACTAAAAAGTGTATGGATATTTTGATTGAGAAAATATCTTTCAAAAACGCACGTGCATGCGTTTAGATTTGTGAAACAGGTGAATTTATTCTACTTTTTGGTTTGATGATACAGTCCATGATCAAAAAAAGATATGCTCAAACGCAGGCAAATTAATATTTTTCTCGGGTTACCTTTCTTACGGTTTTTTGTCCGGACTTGGAAAATTGCATCAGCGTATGCCTGTCTGCGACAAAGCCACTATTTTCACGTTTTATTTTGTCAGATTTTGCTGACTTAATCACGCTGACATTTTAATCAAAATTTAAGGCTCTTTTACCACCCCCATTGACGGATCAATTGAGCAATCTCAAACCCCCCCCCCCCCCCTCCCCTCCCGTAATAACCAATTGAGCCTTTTTTGCAAGTTTTTTTTTGCAAATTTTTGTTTGGGCGACCATTGCCTCATCGAGGTATGCGACTTACCAGAGTTGATGCTCAAGCCTTCTATCTGAATATCAAACACTGCTCTCGGCAGCATCCTAATATTGTAAGCAATACATTTCTCCTCCTTTGAGGACAGAAAAATGTCGCTTCATATGCCTCAGTTTATTGATTCTTTTTTACTCTGATTGTAATTTTCGAGCTTTGAAAATTTGGCGATCCGCATTCATTTGGGAATCTGTTTTATGATTTCATATCATTCAAACTATTTTCAAGTGGTATACACATGTCTCAAGTACCTATTGAGCTTTATCCCACCAAGCGAGAATGGGGGAGATTGCTCAATCGATCCCCATTGACTTTTAAACTTGAAACACTATTTTGACGCTGTCACAACGCAATGGCACTTCTAATGGTGAAGAAGCTAACTATTGAGAACATATTTTACATCCATACATCGTAACATCACAGTGCTTTTTTTCCTTTCGAGTTTATAGACCATAAAATTCATGTTTGAGTGAGGTGAGGGGGGAAGGAAAAAGAGCCCATCACAGATTTAGCAATTTCAACGCGCAAAGCAACTATTAAAAAAGAATATCTGAAATCTGGAGGAAAGCGGGTAAGATCCGAATCTAGAACATCAATAGTCAATTAGCATTTAGAAAATTAGAAACCCGTAATTTAGTAAAAATCAAGAGAAAAAATTGAAAAAGAGTCGAGTGGCTCTTCTCTGCTCCTCTCACATTTGAATTTCATATTTAAAAAAAAAATTAATTTAATGTGGTTGGTAACTCTTTTAATTTAATTTTAATTTTAAACTGCTTATTAATTTAATGTGGAGCAAGTCAACGCTTTCTTCCACGGGCGTAGTGAACAAACTATCGAACAACAGTGTTCTAAACACAATTTTTCAGCAAACTTTATAACAAAAATTCACGCATTTAGCCGTAAAACCATGAGCAAGTACATGAAATTATGAAAAGTTACATTGTTGACCGAAATTAAACAAGACTGCTCATATATCAGGATAAAGCCCTGAATGTTTCAACTGCCCCTTAGCTGATCCCGAAAAGTTTCGCCGAAAAAACTTTTTGATCAACTTCAATTTTTGAACGGCCAATATCAGATTTCCAGTGCTAAAATTAGGGTCAACTTAAAACGGCCAATTAATTTGCCTCAATTCAGTTTGGACCAATTTTGAGTGCGAAAAAATTTGCTTTATTAATTCGGGCGTTGAAATTATTAATTAATAACCAAGCACTTCCAAGAGCATATAAATTTGTGACAAGCATACTCGCGTGTCAATCCGAAGATTTCTAGATCGATACCTATACGCAGTCAACGTATACAAAACTGTTCTGAATAAAAACAATCCACCCCAAACATAAATTTTCTTCACTTTCTCCGAAAGTCAGAACCAAAAGGTCCCGAGTCTATGAAGGTTGAGATAACGTTTCCTGCGTACTTAAAAACTCGAAAAGTTCTTAAGCTTTTAACTTTTTGATCTGGTGCACTTCAACTAATTTTCCATAACTTCTTTTGCCAAGTAAAAATTCCATAAAAAAGTTCCAATTATGCGCTGACTACTTGATGGCTTTGATTGATTGTATTTTAATTAAAGTGTTTAATAGAACTTGAGTCATATTTTTTGTTATGCTTGATAAAGTGCGAATGAATATTTTTGAATAATCGTTATATGAACAGGAAAAGTAGTTGCTTTTTGCAAAGAACAAAGTTTTTAATTAAAAAATTACAAACAAACCTATGAACAAAACCAAAAACTTTATAAGTACTGAAATTTTGACTCAATTTTTTTGTTATAATTGACCAAAGTTTCGTTGTTTTGACCAAAAATACATGGCCAAAAACTCAATCTGATGTTTTAATCCGTTTAAAACAGTTTTTCTCGAAACTCAAAAATTTTGCTGCTGAAAAGGTTTGAGTGAAATTCATAACTGAATTAGTTCTAAAGTAGTACTACGCTCAATTTCATACAGATTTTTTTGGTGGTTTTCTGATTTGCCGTATAAAAAACAATGGCTATTGTTTTTTTGTTGCAAAGGTTTTTAAAATCAGTCGTCATTAAGAGATAACATTTCAATCCAATATGTCAGCCTATTTTGGAAGAAATTAGCTGCAATATTCGAAAACTAGGAAACTGTAATTCATCATCGTTTGCGTGGAGCAAGCAAATTTAAAAAAACTAAACTTAATTGGTAGTTTCTATAATGATATGGCGAAGATCCTAGGAGGCAAAAGGTGTAACTACGTTGATAAAAATCTCCACTAAATCCTGCTCCACTTTTATACCATAATGACTAGATGAGTGAGTCTTTTACTGGGATCAACTTTCTGAATTGTGCTGAGAATCCATAAAAACTGGCTCAGAAACTATTTTTATCATTAGCATTCTAGTATTTTTTCATATCTCTGTTTAGGTAGAATTACTTGCTTTAAATTCAGATCCCAAGAATTTATTGATGCGAAAAATTTCAAGGTTTAGGAGGTCATAAAAATTCAAAACTGATGTGTTCACTCAAAAAATTGATGCAAAGTGATGTAAAACAAACAAATTTTTTCCCGTAGCAAAGAAAAATTAGAACAAGGGAAAAATCTGTATGCAGGCAACAAAAGGCTTTTTTCCTGAGCACGCGCACTTTCGTTGTGTAGTGCATTAAGGCATTGAACTTGTATTTATTAACAATCTTTACATTCAGATTTATTAGGCAACTGATAAAAACCTGATGATGCCATCATAAGTGAAAAAACTGATGATGCCGAAAAAACTTTTCAAAGCACTTGGTTCGTAGTTTTTTTCAAAAAATCAAAAGAGAATTGATCGCCACTTAAAGCCAAGATTGTAACGTAATAAGATAACCTCAAGAAATTTGCAGTCCTTTTTTATAATAAAATTTAGTTAAAACTTGAAAATCCTTGCACAATTTTACAATGCACAACTGAGTAAGTTCAAATCAGCGAGAGGAAATTTTTGTTGAAAACAATGAGACACCAAAACGTGTCCCCAAAGCAAGGACTTTGGAAATTTTTTCGGTGCTTGTTGATTTTAACTGGCTCTGTCAACATCATAATAAATGCATCAACTAACTGATAACGAAATCAAACAAAAACTTTTGGGAAAAAATGGTGGCAAAAAAATTATTTGAAGCTAGCAAAACTATGCTGATTTGAGCACCAAGTTTTTTTCATCGAATAACTATAATTTCAAATAACACTTTAGATAGAAAAAAAATTAACAAACTGTTGTCACTGAAAACTTTTTGATGTGTTTGATGAAGCTAAGTTGGCTGCGCCAGATAGAAACTTATTGTTTTTTTTTTACATATTATCACCCTATTACTTAGATATCAAAGATGTTTAAGCAACAAGAATCTACAAATAGTTTAATGGTAAAAAAAGTTGTTTCACCGTCGCGTGTAACTTAACCAAAAGATTTTTGTTGGAAGATGGCGCTAAATACGGTGACGAAAAAAAACAAAGCAAATGGCGTTGTGAATTACATTTGAAATCCTAGTGATGAAGATTCTTTTTTCACGGTTGGCGCTCAAACAACTGCTTCTCGTACGAGCTACGAGCAGTTATACGATGTATAGTTGGGTAAAAATATCTTAAAAAGAACTAGTTTTTGTGTCTATTAAAGTTTTGGGGCAAGAAAAGCAAAAGGTGAAGTGGTGATAAAGTGATTACGTTTGTGCCACTCAACCAAAAATTCGGATGTTCGAGGCCCACCATTATCCGTGCTTAATTCTTGAATGTGAATCAGTTTTACCCAGACAATAAAAATAAACAAAAACCGCATGAAGGTCTTAGCCAAGGGCATAACAGCTCGCATGTTGGTTCTTTCCCTTGTGAATGAATCGTCTTAGTCTCAATCGCAAGGAAAAGAAGTGAAAAAATGTTGACAACTTGGGTGATTTCATTGTGTTGGTTGAACATGCAGTATACATCCATGTAAACTGTACTAAGTAATCTAAAACTGAAGAAAAACACTTTCACCATCAAGAAGATTTTTCTTCAAGGGGAATTCTTGTGATGCATAGTTAAACGTTGAAAAAGTTCTAAAGAAGTAAGATAAATCAGAATTAAGATTTCGATTTAAAAAATGACGTACTTTTGAACCCCCGTAATTTTACAAAAAAAAACCACAGGTAAAACTTTAATTAAATTTAAGCTCAAGACAACGATACTTTTTGAATGATATGAAAAAAAATTCAATAATGGCTAGTTACAAAGTCGAAATTTGTCCGAAGAAAACAAACACCCCGAGTACAAGTGTTCCGTTACTTTCGTTATGAGAGTAGGATTAATTTAATATTATTAGCCTCAAACTCAATGGTTGTCAATATTTTAATTACTATAAGCTATTCGCGACCAGTTGAAGGGAAATTGGAACATCCAGGGTTTTGCCCTGATACGAGCAGTCTTGTTAATATTTGCGTCGGGAAGTTCCACGGGCAACATATTTAGATCAACTTTGCCCGTGATGTGGTCGAATTTAAACTAGAAGCTAAGATAGTTTTCGAAAATAGCAGCAAATTGTGTAGAAGTCAATAATGAGAACAGGTTTAGTATCCCTAAAATGGTGATGTCCCATTTGTACCAACGTTCATTTGTACCAAAATGAAAAAACCGGCGACCTTAAGCCGAGAACTTAAAATAGTCGGCTTAGAATTCTTTGGCCAATTGAATATTTTTGGTACTAACGCGATTGATTTTTTATTTTGTTACAAATGGGACTGATTTATCATTTTGGTACTTGTGAATACCCACCCCCTAAAATTAAAAAAAAACTGATGAACTTTGAAAAATAGCAAAACAGCCGTTTCTTTTGAGTTTTCAATTTGAGAAATTTTATCATGGAAGCCTGAAGCTTGTTGGCAAACTGAAACAATATCTAAAATCAATCGAGAAGGATAGAACTTTTAACTTGCAAATGGCAAGCAACTTTAAACAAACATCAACGCAAGTCAACTTAGATGTGGATTAATGCAATCATGAACCATCTTCAGTGTCTTAGTCCAATTTTTCTTTTATTGAGTCAATTTTTCTCAATTTTGGCAATCATGGAGCCGGACCATTGCCCACATGTGCCTATTGTGTCTCTTGCAAACGGTCATTTACTCAGTGGTAGATGGTACCTTTCGTTGGTTTCAATGTTTTCAGGCAAGAGTGGAGAATCTTGCGCTTTCGTCACCATAAAAATCTCAGAGCTCCGCCATGGTAAGTTATGACGCGAAAACAATTTTTGCATACACCTAGCCCGGTATAATAGATAATTTTTTAAGATCCGAAGTCTAGTTAAATTTTTTTTGAGTTCATTTAACGGAGCTGATGAATCTTTAAAATGTAGTAGTCGGGTCATCTTCCGCTGCAGTTATTGTTTTCATCAATTTCTCAGAAGAATTCAAATTTATAACATTACTTTGAGTTTGTTAACCGATGAATGAAAAAAGAAACTGTCAAATTCAACTCGGTTTATTAATTTAACAATAGTAAGAACTGATATCCGAAGTTTGTTGGGTTCAAAAAATAAATATGAGTCAAAGTTTTGATCAGCGTACATTTAGGTACTGTTATCTCGCTAGATGTTACAAGCTACGACAACACCTCCTACTCGACCACTGAAATGATGGTTCAGAAAAAAGTTCCCCTCTCTCAGTCTCCTTACGCGTCATTCGTTCTGGACTCCAACGGTAAATTTCCTTCCTATGAGCAACCCAACTTATTTATCGTGTATTTGGACCCTCACTCAACTGTCATATACTTCTGTAAACAGCTCGAAAGCGGGATGAAAAAAGACGGTGCCTGGATTTTGACAAGAGAGCAGAATCCAAGTTTGTTCACTTTAAAAAGATTGGAATGGAAAGTGAGAGATTTTGGAATCTTCCTCGAGTTTTTCCGGGTCGATCAAAGAAACTGTCCCAGATTTCTTCAGGCGAAAGAAGTGAAACTAGTACCAGTAGCAAAAACTATGTGTCCGAAAAAGACAACTTTAGAAGAAATTCTTTCATGATTCGGTTTCCTTCATACCTTATCAAGTTTTGATCTCTCACGTTCTTAGAGTAGAAATTAACTAGAAAATAAAATAGTTTCCCTGATTTATTAATTTTTGTCATTGTTAAATATGTATTTACAAATTAAATTTACATTTACTGCTCCATTTTGTATAAAGCAAGTGACCTTGGGTTTATTTCGTGTCGATGGCCGAACAGAGCCTGAAAAAACTAATATATCCCTGATGAATTCCCAGAATTTGATGAACTCCCTGATGATGAATTGCTCCTAGAGTTTGGTCACTTTTTTGATGGCATCGGCAAATCTAAAAGCATGTGTTAATTTAGTTTTGCAGCAACCATTTCAAAAGATTTTTGCGAAGCAATTATTTTTCCGACCTTTGAAAATGGGGAGGATCTTTTTAATTTAATGTGCGTATGGTGTGAATTATTTTTCAAAATCAGGTACCAATAATAATCATCGGAATGGGTCAAGTTATATATCATTTTAAGGCCCTTTCAGTCGTGATTCGAACGACATTAACAATTTTTTTTGAATCATCATTGCCCTGTGTTGAGAACAACTTAAATAAAAGAGTTTCATGTCGAATTCGAGCAAGTAAGACGAACGACTAACGATTGTTAAATGAAAATTTAACATTTATTGACACTTTTAGGCTCAGAAAACTCGGAAACTAAAAAAGGAAACCAGTTTTGGAAGTCTCGTTTCGTGCTTCCAGGGCAACTATTTGGCTACCGTTTTCACAATTAAAATAAATTAAAATTATTGAGCAAAAAAAACAAATAACAAAATTTTTTTCAATTATGAAGTTTTTCTGAATTTCCATAATCACAATCTCACTAAAAATGATAAAAATTTGGAGGGAAAAATATAATTGGAACATTCTGTGCTAATTTTGTGGTTGGAACATTCTGTGCTAATTGCACAGCATTCGGCTATCCTAGTTTTACACATACATTTTTCCTCTTGTTCCGACTTGCGAAGGAAGTGAGGATTAATTTTTCTTGCTGAGGCGTTTTTTTAATCAGTCAATTTTCGACTTAATAACTGAACGTTTTTTACGGATATTTTTAAACTATCTAGATTTATTGTTATGGTAGGCTCAAATTGAAAAAGATATTTCACCTGTGATTGTTTATCGTAAAGTTACGGGCGTTTGAAAAATGCTAATTCGACCAATTTGAACAATTAAAGAGCAATATATTGCGTATTTTTAACACGCGTAAGAAGCAAATTAATGCGTTCCAAATTGAATTGAGGCCAGCAAATTAATCCTATTATAACAATACCAGACGCTAAATTCACCCTTAGTATTTTACATTGCGTGTTGGCGGATAAAATGAAAAAACAATGAACAAAAAATCTTTTTTTTCTCAATTATTTTGTCAATTATTCAACCAAAAATTTTTTCAGTTGGACCTAAGTACAGTCGGAAAATTCAGGGCTTCGCCTTGATATATGAGCAGTCTTGTTTTGCTTGTTCAACGCTTGCATGTCACAAAAATTAAATTTTACGATAAATTCACCATGGCGTGTAAAATTAAGAGAAGCTGACTTTAAATTGGTGAATTGTCTCAAAGTGTTTATTCCAGTATCTTGTTTCGATTGCCCTTATTTCGATTACCCAGTCCGATTCTGGTCCCCCTTTGACGTTTTTTAAGACCAAACCTAAGGCACCTAAATTTTCTGAAAACGCCTTTAATGCCAAATTATTCTTAATTTGAGGGTGAGCTCGCGCTGAAAAACAACGCAATTTTTGAGGCAAAACTTTCCAGCAAATGCTCAACAACGGCAGTTCATCAAAAAAAAGGGTTTCAGAAAGTGCAAAAAAATTTAAAAAATTGTTTTCAAATTTGGTCAGTCTGGGATTTTAGCAGAACTCCAGTAATTTATGAGTTTTTATGGAAAATGACGTTACTCACAGACGATGTTGTCGGATTTTGGGGCAGCCGCAGGTTCAGGGGGTGGAGGTGGCTGAGGTCTAAAACAAAACGGTATCACTACTAAATATATGACTGCCCCCGTTCAATCATTAGTAACCGTGTGGGCGATTTGTTGCAAGGCTGAAATTCAAAGTTGTTCATATGGATTAATCTTCGTTATAAGGTGCCTCAAGGCTATGGGGTTATAAGGTCCAGCCATACGTGTGGTTCCTTCCTAATGAAGTTATTGAGATGCGCAGGGGCAGATTAAGGGGGGATATTACGGATGCCTCCACTCATCAGGTAATCATCCCCTCACCAACCAAAGGGTTTCCCTTTTTCCATTTTTGGAGACCAGCTCTAAAAATATTCTAATTATACAAATTTTGATGGGGATCGGGCGGCACAAAAACCCAATTTCTGATCAATTTTTCCAATTAGTGCTTGAAAACAGCATTTTTGACGTGTTTTGATTTTTAATTTTTGATCAAAATAGGGTCTTTAGAGTGTTCTGGGAGCGCTCAGAAAATCAGTTTGGTCGACCTGCAAAAAGGGTTTGAAAATCTGTCCACCCCACTCGAGAAAATCCTAGATCCATTTCTGGAGATGGGTCTTCGTTAAAAGAAACACATTACTGGAAAAACTAGACGATAAAAAAGAAAACTTTTCAAAACTCCCAATATAATAAGAAAAAGCAACACATTTAAAATAAAATCTCAGAAAGAATCTATCAAAGAAAAAAAATCAACATTGTTTTATCGAGAATCCTTAAAAATGAACTGAAAAAAAACATTCATCTTGTAAGTTCGAGTTTTTGTTTCGATCATTAAAAAAAAGAGGAACTTTGTATTTCGGTGTCTTTTATTTTTTTCTTTTTTTGCTACTTTTTTATTTTCTACGCAAAGTCAGGTACCACAAATAATCATCGCACTGGGTTGATTGAGATATCATATAGAAGACCTTTGAGTCGCAATTCGAAGGACATCAAAAAGCTTACTACAAAATTTTCTCAATTGGAATCAAAACTTCAAAAATTCAAAAAAAAAATTAACAAAAAAATTTGAATATTTTGAAATTGTATTCTACGATGTTTTTTCGTTTTTCAAGTCATATTTCTACAAAAATATGTTTTCCAATTGGCCTTTTTTACTATGATTGTCAAAAATGTTTTAGTTTTATTTGTTCAATCAGATGACACCACGTAGAAAATAAACAACACTAATTTGAAAAAACTTTTTTTGTATTTTTTAAAGAGCATAGTCGGAATATTCTGTGCTACTTGCAAAGTAACCGGCTATCCTCCTACTAATTTTAACTGATTTGATTCTTTTAAAAAGAAGGAACAAAAAAATTTATTAAAATAATTTACTTGAATCGCAAATCAGAGAACGTGGCATTTTGAGTTAACTTTTTAAGGTCTAGAGTGGTCTGAAAACAAAGCTAATTCAATCGAAAAAATAACGAAAAACTGGTTTTTAAACGGGAATAGACACTTTTTTGTTAACTCAAAATGTACCTGAAATATGGGTGGACAATTAATTTAGAGTCCAAGGAAGTCTTCGTGTGAACAATTTTCTCTTGTCTGCTTCTCCCTTATTGAGAGGGGGGAGGGGGAATGTCGGCAACTTCGACGACGTCATCTTTGTTCAACACTTTCGAAGCTGAAACTGTCGCAGCCGATGTCGCTGGCGGACTCTTTGGTCTTCTCTGTTGTTCAACGCCGCCCCCAATAACACTAACCGGATCTGGCCCATCCGAACCCCGGCCTCCGAAAAGCGCCGATTGCTCTGTTTCAGTGGCCAAGTTCAAGTGAATATACAAACCGACTTATCGTTGTTTTTAGCAGAAATGTTCCGAATGAACTTGGAGTGGAGAAAATGAAAAGTGAAATCTTTAACGAGAGCAACTGGTTGCCGTTAGAGAAGCGCAAAAAAATCTCAACACAATTTTCATTTCGAACCAATTTTGTAACATTGTTTTTTTTTGTTTTTACCTCTTTTTATCCTTTTTTTATGTAATGGCTTGGGAGTGTAGCTGAGGCAAGCTGTAAAAATATCTGAATCCAAAGCTCCTCCTCACACGTTTGATATTCACAACAAAAATGACGGGGAAAATATTGCTTAGTCGAGTTGGTAGTTTTTTCCACTCTTTACAAAAAGGATATCTTGGTATACTTTACGTTTCCAGAACTCAGAGAAGTGAAATTTAATTCATTTCTTTTGTTCAATATTTTCATGTATTCACATAAATCCCCCAAATAGGTATAAAAGAAACATTTATAAGATAATTATATTCTCAAAAAAATCTGTATTTGAGATATTTCTATATTTTGTGCTTTCTAAAAACTTTTTGTTTTAACAGAAAAGCAGATCAAAAAGATCTATGATAAAAGGCAATTCAAATAGCAAAAACTCCTAATTATTGAGAAAAACGTGACAAGATATATGACCGAGCTCAGGCTTTGTTTTCTGAGTAAAATTCCGCACCAAGAAATAGAGAACCAATTATATATATTTTATTTCTGCCTCGTTTCGGTTCAGAGGTAGACCGGTTTTGGGTAGCTAGCTGATTGAAATTTGATAAGTGAATTACCGTAACTATCGGAAATTACAAGTCAACAAAGAATAAGGAACTACCATAAATTTTGGCATTTAAAAGCAGAACTCAATGTCATAAAATAAGAAAAGAAAAACATTGATAAATCAATTTTAAAACACCGCCTCAAAAACTTGTGAACTTTGTTTTGGTCTTTCAGTTTTCGAATTTTCTCGCATACCACTGTTCTTCGTTCTCCAGAAAATTCATTTGTAGTTACTTGGGTTTTTCTCGCTATTAATTCTTGCGAAAACATATTTCTTCATTATAACGAGAAGCAAAACAAAAAGAGACATTTGCTATGCAGATACCGCTGAATGGTCCGATCATTGTTTTTAAAATAACTACAGTTAACTTTTTTCCAAACTAGTAATGTTTTTTCTTCTGCGTGATGTGATACAAGCACCTGACGTAAAAGAGTAATTTAGCCATATTCGACCGTCAAAATAAATACTTAAAACTTACAACAAATTTGTGGAAAAAAAGACAATTAAAGCAAACAACATTTTTGCAGACAAAATGGCAATAAAAATAGTTCTGCTTGTGTAAAATTTAGTTTTGAGTTTAAACTTAGCACATAGAAGCTGTTGTAAGACTGCTCACTTGCATTGTTTGCTCGAAACTGAGATGAAAATCAAAAAATTTACGTCAGTTTTTTTTACGACAATGAGAAAACAAATTGAACTTTTTTAATTCGGTCAAATTACGACTGAAAGAGCTTCAATTTTGTATCTTAGATGAAATATTCCTATGATTATTTGTGGTACTTGACTTTGCGGGAAAAAATAAATTACACCCAAAAAAAAAGTTCTTCCCTACTTTTTAAACAATCGAATACAAAAAATACAATACGTTCGAACACAAAAATTTTCCCCCTTTTTCAAACGGTTGGAATAAAAAAACAGCAAACGCCTTCTTCCTAAATCAACAAAAGGAATTATTTTGAATTCAAGCTAAGCTAAGTATTGACTACATAAGAGCTCAAAAAAGTCCAACAATTTGAATTTCTCAATTTTTGTAGATCAAAGTTGTATAATTCTAAAATTTTCTTTACAAAAAGGGTAAGTGATCCTATCTGCAAACTATTAGTAACCTAAATTGTGTGATAATTTTTTTAAAAATATCAAACAGACCATAAGATCATTCGGTGTGCTGGCATTTGTTTTTTTTCTTCTCATCAACTGTCTATAGCCTAGCCTAATGTAAAACAAGGATAGCCAGCTGGGTACTGTGCAAGTAGCACAGAATGTTCCGATCTGAATCTTGAAAAAACAATAATTAAGTTTCTTCTAATTTTTGTCGTTATTTTCTTCGTGGTGTGATAAAAGGAGCTGAACAAAAAAATGAGGGTTAGGTATATTTGACAGCTATAGTAAAAAAAGCGAATTGAAAAACATTTTTTGGAGAAAAATTAATGGAAAAACGAAAAAAAGTGGAAAAAAATCGAAAACTAGTTTTTGCATTTTTTTGATTTTTTGAAAATTTTGATTCCAAAAAGGTGCTAAAACACTCAAAGTAATACAACGTTACCCATATAAAACTAAGTTTTTACATTTTAAATTAAGCTTTTGTAGGCTTTTAAGCAATTAAAGTAAGACTGCTCGCTTGCTTTATTTGCTCGAAACAAGACGAAATTTCAAAAAATTTCAAAACCAGTTTCTCTCGAAACAGTGAAATTTTTTTGATATTTTTATTGTAGTTCAAATCCCGGCTGTAAGGGGGAAAATTTGATATACGATAAAGCTTAGGAAAAACATAATGCTATCCCAAAGAGAGGGAACTTCATTGGCTTTTTTTTCGTTTTTACGAAAGTCGCAGTGTCTTTCTCATGTTTCCTTCAAAAACCCTAAGGAATCACAACTCTCCATTTTCAAATATATCATAAACAATATCATGCTCGAGTTAAATATCATAAACAATTTTTTTCTAAATACGCTACATTTTTAAGACAAAAACTCATGATCCTGTTTTTTTACAATACGGTAACCTTGAAGAACAAAGAAGCTTTAACTTGGGATTCGCGGTAAATTTTTTTAAAAATGGGACAGCATAAACACCTTTTTAGACCAACTCATTCGTTAGCTTTAGAAATTAAGTTTCAGAACAGAATCAAGTCCCAATTTCCAGCCCCAAAACAATAGATTTGTAACTACGTTTGAGCTATACGGTCAATTGTTTTTGTCAAAAAAGTATATAAGTCGAATAAAACTTTGATAATTTTTGCTGGTTCCGGGCTAATGACCAAAATTTCTTTTAATTGAAAAAAAATCAAAAATGTTCAAAACGTGACCTTATATGGTGAAAATTAATTCTAAAAATTCAGGTTTGAGAACAGAACTTTCTGGGAATATTTTAAGACTTTGGAAACCACCCTACTAATTTTGAAACTTGGTTCCCAAGTCCAAAACCTACGTATGATGATTTGAGTTATAAAATTGTGGTATCAAAATTACTTTTAAAACATCAAGTTGTTGCCACATCAAGTTGTAAAATATCAATTGAGCGTTTCATATAGTAGGTTCGTTTCTTGGAATTTTAAAAACTTTGCGGAGTCATTTCTAACACTTGAACGGACATAGTAAAACTTTTTTAAATGTTTTTTTTTCAAGTCTCTAAATTCACGGTATCCACTACGGTTGAAACTATGGAACTTTTTTTTGGCCTAAAAAAATTGAGGTTTCTGAAAACAAATCAAATGCTTTGTAGTTACAAAAAATGCATCATAAACCTAAAATACACTAGCGTAGTATTCAGTATAAATCTTTTATGACTGATATTTGAGTCTGGAAGCTTCAAGTTTTTCATTTCCACTTCACGAAATTTTGATTCAGACATTAAATTTTTATGTTTCCACAACTATTTTCTGTTATTTAAAGATTGGAATAGAGATATCAACGACAACAGTCGTATTTAAGAACCTAAATTCAAGTTCTGCAGTTGATTGTAGCCGATTCGAGTGGCCAAACCCAGTTTTTATCAATGATCAAGGAACAAAAAAGAAAACGGGAACTTTTTTGCAAGGTTTAAACTTCCCAGATTTAAGACAAGATTGCCGTCGTTTTTCGATCGAAGATACAGCCACAACTCGACCAAAAGTAAAAAATCTCATGGGTAAAATGAGCATAAATTTTGCAATAAGCTGCAAATTTTTGGAAAAACTTCCAGTAGCGTTGATAATAACTTGGAAGTAGATGAAATGAAAACTCAAATCTAGCAAATTCAATTGAGATTAAAAAACTTTTAAAAGCATACAAACGAGATGAGCATAAAATCAGCACAGAAACAAGTCTTCTAACTGATGCTAAGCGACAGGTCAAACTATAAAAGTTGTTTTTAAAGAACAACTTTTTTGTTAAGAGTTTATAAATAACAATATCAAGGACAACCTCAAATCAGGTATTAGTTTTTCTGATGAGGATGAAATGTCTACAACTAGCGCAGACAAGGGCATTGCTCGAAATAATTACCACAGAAAATTGACGGAAATCGTATGAAAAAGAACTATAGAACTTTCTACACAGAAACATAAAAACATACATCTTTTTTAAAACAATCAATGATGATGTTCTGATCATTAGGCGAGCAAAAAAGAAATAAATTATAGCAATAGTTACTACTTTAGGTCAACATCCTGTGGAAAGTTTTGGTAAAAACTCCTTAAAATTCGTTTTTGAAAATTAGTGGAGCAATTCGTTGTGCTTAAACCAAAACGGTATTAGTTACTCAAAAGACACAAAACGATGAAGTTCTTTTTGAAACTAGAGTTGATGCTAGAAATAATAGTGTACTGAAAGTACATAAAATAATTTCAGCAAAGGAAGCACTTGTTGCGGCCCTAGATGGATTTGACTTACACTGAATACTTGTATGATGGTCCTTCATGGATCGTCTTCAGATTCCCAAAAGATGGCTTGATTAGAGTTGATCTAACGTAAGGTAGATTGACCTAAGGTGATGTTTCATGGCAATCCTTAGTAGAATGGTCCTTCAAGGATCGTCTTCAGATTCCCGAAAGATGGTTTGATACGAATTGATCTAACGCAAGATAGATTGACTCAAGGTGATCCTATATGGTGATCCTTAGTATGATGGTCCTTCATGAATCGCCTTAAGATTATCGAAAAATGGCTTGACTAGAGTTGATATAACGTAAGTTAGATTGACTCAAGGTGATCCTAAATGGTGATCCATAGTATGATGGTCCTTCATGGATCGCCTTAAGATTACCGAAAGATGACTTGATTAGAGTTGATATAACGTAAGTTAGATTGACTCAAGGTGATCCTATATGGTGATCCTTAGTATGATGGTCCTTCATGAATCGCCTTAAGATTATCGAAAAATGGCTTGACTAGAGTTGATATAACGTAAGTTAGATTGAATCAAGGTGATCTTATATGGTGATCCTTAGTATGATGGTCCTTCATGAATTGCCTTAAGATTACCGAAAGATGGCTTGACTAGAGTTGATCTAACGTAAGTTAGGTTGACTCAAGGCGGTCACGATGGACGGTCAAGTCAAAGTAGCAAGTAACCGAAAGATAATCGAAAGATGGTCAAGCAGCAGCTAAACGAAATTCAAAGCGAAGTCCTAGCGTCAAATTGCTCAGAGGCCTACTTTTGGTTGGTCCTCGTTCTAATTAAAAGCTACCCTGACCGATCAGAAAGCAAGCAGCCAGTAATTAATGCTAGTAACTAGAAGAACTGCATTTTGAGTTAACTATCGGTAGTGGCAATCGGTCTAAGCTCATTCACTAAGTCAATAACTGGTCAATCTGAAAGAGATGAACCAGTAAAGAGAAAGAAAAAAAAAACATTGAATAAGTATCAGTAACAATGTTACGATACTTTCGTTTTTTCGAAGTCATTCTGCCCAGTGGTACTCATTTAGGATGATGGTTAGCTGCTTGCAAAAGATGGGAGCTATGCGATCAGTGGTTCAGAATTTACGACCCGAACCGTAAACAAGCTCAAAATGAGGTCCAAAACTGGCAAAGTTGCTTCAGTTGGCTTTTAAGTTAACAAAGCTTGCTCGTAGAGCTGCCGGAGTAAGTCCATTTGCTTTCTCGTAAAAAATAGGTGTAAGAACCACCTTAGTTGAGCTTGTTCGTTCCTAGGATGACCTGCAATGAAGTATTATTTTCTGAGTATACGAAAAAAAACGTTCAAAGCTAAGTCAAGACGTGATAAATGCTTGAGTTTTGAAAGCATTAAATCAACACAAGTCTTCTGTAGATTCTCTTTGAAGGGGAAGATGAAAACGTTATAAGATGGAACAAAAAAATTATTGATAGACAAAAAGAATCTGACGCATTCTTGATTGTCTAAATCTTCAATATTTGTTGAAAAAGTGAATTTTTTCTGGTTGTCGTAAATTGAATATGCTTGCAAATCTAAACGTTTCAAGAAATGAAATAGTTTGCGTTCCATAAAGTTTAGGATCTACATTACTTAAAATAACTCTCCAAATAGGTATATACAAAAAAAGGTGTTCAAACAGTTATATTTTATTGAATTTTAGCCTATGTTTTTTTAATGCTAGTTGTTTTAACTCTAAAGAAGATCGAAAAAATTTATGATATAAGGTGAGACTTACAGCGCTCATTTGAATTAGTTAGCAAAACCTGGAAAACTATAGACTCAAGCTCTTGTTTCTCTTAATATAGCCTTTAAAAAATTTTGGACATCATCTTCTGCATTTGTATAATGCGGGCGTAGTTTCAGTTCATCGCATTAAAATTTTAACTTCAGAGAGACCTATAAAACGGATCTCCAGATCTAATGGCGATTTCAATTTCTCCTATTTTATTTGCCTAATTTTTTTTTCTTTTTTTTCATTTTTTTTAACGCCAAACAGCTGCCACGATTAATCAGCGGAATGGAATGAGTTATAAATGAGTTATAAAAGTTTTTTAATGTTGACTCGAGTATCGAAAATTTTCTAAAAAACTTTGGAGAAAAAGCGGTTTGAATTTTCCGGCTTTCAGTCTAATTTCGAACAAACAGAGCAAACATAAAGGTTTTTAATGAGAAAATGTTTAGGTCATGAAAACTTATTTCGACTCCATTAAAATTTATTTTCGAAATTTTTCTGTAGCGTCTTGGGAGCAGTAAAAAAATTTTAAAAACCATTTTTGAATTTTTTAAAAGTTTTTGTATAATTTTCGTCGGAATCCATTGTGCTAGTTACATAGCAACAAGCTAGCTTTCAAATCATTGTTATCATTGTTCTGAAAACTTCACGAAGTGGTAAGGTAGTAACAAAATTCAAAAACTGTCTCAATTTTGTAAAAACTGGTCTGAAATCTTTGTTTTCTGACTTATTTAAACGAGTTTTGATAAAAGGCTGACTTCATACATACAATTTAGAGGCCCAACTCTTACTAAAAAGAATACTTTTTTCAATTTAAACTTTCAAATATTATTCTATTCTTTTTGAATTTTTAAGGTTCGAACTTTCTGTGCTATTTACATAGGGACCGGCTATCCTTCTTATGATTGAAATATCAGTATATCCACTTGAATTTAACCATCGGCGTCCGCGGACCCCATGCCTTTGGGGTATCCGAGATAGGGGTCGTAGGGTACTAGACCGGCGAGGTGGGACTCGTAAAGAGCTAGCTGTGGATCAAACTCGCCAGAGTAGATATCCGGCGTCACAAATGGAGAGTCGGGGTTGAGTTCACTGAAGTTTTTGGGCGAATTTTTAAGCAATAATTCAGCTTCTATGAAGTTTTTGGCAAATAGTTTTTTGTAAGAACTTGAAATTAAAATACGCGTATTTTGACAACTAATTGGAAATGAAAAGAAGCGTATTTTGAAAACAAAGTTACAAATACTATTTTTTCAGTTGGCGTTAAATATATGTTTCTTCTAACTCAATATGTTATGAAAATATTAAGGTTTAAATGGTGGCTTCTAAATAGGCCGAAAAACAAACCAGCCACTACTTGTGCTAGACAAAAACTGAGCAGTTATATAACAACTGTGTAATAATTATAAGGCTGTTAATATATCCCAAGAAAACTTCAATTATCTATTTTAACTTTTGGCGTGTTAATATATACTGCTCTTTTTCGGTTTGTTCATATTTGTGCTGTTCATTCAGACTGGAACACAATATAACTCACTTTGGTCTGGGGGGCAGTCTCATCGGAGGTTGTTGCACGTAGTACACCACAGGCTTCGGCTGCACAAATAAAAATGGGTCAATTTTTTGATAAAATTTCCCGGGTCGACCAAAAATGCTAGTCATACAGTTTTCATATATGGAAAAACGCTAGTCATACACTTTTCATGCAATTCCATAAGTACAGAAAAATGATGAGCATCTCTAATGTGATTTAAATCGAATAAACAATGCTTCCCATAATTTTTTTGGTCGTTATCGGTTTTTAAAAAATTGTCAAAGCGCGACGAGAATTTGCGTTAAAAGTTCTTAACATAATTAAAGATTGTCTGTTTACGGAACAAAAACCAAACATTTTTTCTAGAATTGAACACATCACAGCAAAATATATGCATCAACAGCCTCTCGGTCGACCGGCAGCTACTCTAACCACCACTTAATCTCTGCTTCAGTGGTGAAGGTATACAAAATATCAAGAATCTACTTAACAATAAAAAAAGTGCTTGCTATAAAAATTGTTGCTTGGAAGACTCCTTGTGAGAGACAGCTGGTAGTTGAAATTATTCGAACAGGATCTAGGACAATTTAATTTTGAGATGAGCCAGTCAGTACAATAAAAACGCTTCTATAAATATTGCTGAAATCGGTCAGGTATACATCGAGATAAGCTAGATAATCATGTTTAATTACCGCTATTTATTACCACCACCGCTATTGATTACCAGCAGTTTTATCATGTTTTTATGTTTAGGTCGATAAATTAGATAAACACGTTTTAGCTTTTAAACATGATAAAATTTTTGGTTATAAATACAAGGGTGATTGGTTATAAATGCTTATTTTGTAGGTCGACCAAACTGATTTTCTGAGCTCTCCCAAATTATTATAAAGAACCCATTTTGACCAAATTTTCTGCGCCGCAGACATATTTTTGAAAAAAAAAACAGGCCAAAAAAGCGTTTTAGGCACTTTTTGGAAAATGTTGACCAAAAAATCGCGTTTTTTCGGCACGCGCTCGCCTAAAGCGCCTTTAGAAAAGTTTTGGGGTCAGTCAGCCAAAAAAAGATATCTCAACAATAGTTCCAATGGGGACACCCTTTGGGTCGACAGGGGGTCGAATCCCTGAGGGGGGAAGCGTCCGATCCCTCCTAAATCCGCTCGTGAATAAATAGCGGTGGCTCTTCGTATCGTAATGAGCTCATCAGCTCGTAAATTAGTCTTTTCCCTTGTGGACAACTAGTGTCATCTTAACTATACTGCTCTAGCTATCGGATTAAACATTGTCATTTTTTCGCAGTCCAGTGAAAACATGCTTTTGAAATACCTCGTTTCATTCTGAAATTTCGAAATTGATGTAAATCGAGCAGTCTAGAAGCCGAGCGTCTTAAGATTTGAATTAACTTTGACCGGAACAAGTTTTTACCACGAATTTGACATTTTAATTATGTAAGTTACGTAATCTTATGTAATCTAATTATGTAATCTAATTATGAAGTCTAATCATGAAATTGTGTAATGTAAGTTACCTCTTCGCGTGGTGGGGCCAGTCTCTCCAAGAGCATGTTCTGCATGATAGCCTGGTTCAACTGAGCGCTCTGCATCATCATGAGCTCCATCATGTCTGACAAACATTTCATCAAGTTAAATTAGCATTTCAAGTTCGATTGATAACTCAATAGGGTGACAAAACAAAGTATCGCATACAAAAATATCCCATTACAAAAAATACCATACCAAAATATCCCAAAAGACACAATAGCCCAAGCCAACATAGCCCTGGTCAATTAAAATATTCAATGAAGAAAAAAAATTCGCTTATGATATAAATTTCCAAGGATTGGTGCATATATCTACATCGCAACTATAAAGAGTCTCAATTAATATGAGACGCCATATAGAGATAGTTCTAATTGTACAAGACTCTTTTCGTGGGATTAAATTTTGTTTTTCAATCTGTTATTGGAACCATAACTTATAACTTTTGATAATAAAACATAGCGCGAAGATATATCATTACTCACAAAGCACCATTACGATGAACCAAATATGACAGATTTTATCTGGGGCAAAACTCAAACTGCCAAAAGGTTGCTTATCTTGGATAGACACAAGTTCACTAAAAGTGAGACACAAAACCTATCACTCACTAACGTTGCGCAAAATGGCATTCCCATAAATGTCCAATAACGCTTTGAAATTTCAACGAAATAATTATTTTTTCAATCGTCAACTTGGCCATGAGTTCAACACCTGATGTGTAGAAGCAAGGCATCCAAGCTTTAAACTCTGTTTCTCTCTCAAACTTCGAGTCTGCATTTCCTTCAGCCATCGACGTTCCAACCGTTTCTAACCAAATTCGACGTTCCAACCGATATCCTAGAGAAAAATGACGAGCTCATATCATATTTGCAGAGAACTTATATTAAAGGAGAAACCATTGGTGGACAACAGCGCCATCCTTTATTCCTCAAGATCTTTTAAATCATGGCGGCAGATCATATTTGAACAACCAATGCAGTTGAAGTCTTGCATAACAGCGTTACGTCGCTTTCCAGGGCAGCCACCCCTCGTAAGAAAGTTCATCCAGAAGTTCAAAATTTTGAAAGCAAGCAGCGGCACCACTAATCAAATCCTTCAAAAACTCGGATATAGTAAACTGTTTTCAAGCTCTGACTCATTTGACTTTCCGCTAGATTTCAATTTGTCAAACTGTTGGCACAATTTTCCTATATTGGCGGAATTTGATGCATTCTGAATTGATTTCCCAAAAATCAATAGTTTTTTGGTTTGTAGCCATTGAAGAGGCATTTTTGGACCAAGAGTGATGTTTTTCATCCAAAAAATCAAATGAGCTAAAGAAAATGTCATAATTTCTTAAGCATTTCAAAATTCAATTTTTTTAGTTGTATTTACGTGTGGTTGATGCTAAGCCTTTTCTGTTGCGAGCTAAAGTATGAAGAACAAATCTGTTTAAAATAGTTGATTTGTTCACCATGCAAAATTTCATTAGATTTTGACACCAATAAATTTTTTTTGTAATGAAAAAGAAATTGGGGGTTGGGGTGAAAAAAAACCGCTTTTTGTTTTGTTAGTTCAAAAACTCAAAAAATCGGCGGATTTAAAACTTGCGTTGAAATTTTCACGCTTCGAAATGAATTTGGTTCCACGTGCTTTTTAAAAAAATAGCATTGGTTTGATGAGTTTGATCAATTGCTGCATCTTGGTTTCAATTTTTTTGATTAACCAATTTGGATATTTTATCTTATTTGACTCTTCAGATGGGATACTTTAATTTGAGTGAGCTACTTCGTCTTGGGTTATTCTGATTATTGGGATACTTTTGTTTGGGATACCTTCTCATGGGATAAAAAAAGCTAGGGTAAACTTGTCATTCAATCGCTCAGAAGTATGAGTACCGTGCTTACGGCCATTTGTGCTCTGGATATTTGCGCTACAGCGAATATTCCCGGCAAAAAAATGTCAACGATTTTTTTTTCAGAAAAAAGTACCAAATGTCGCAATTTATATGAAGATGTATAAGCCTGGTAAAATTTTAAGAACTTCTTATTTTTTGAAGTTTGCTAACCTCAATGGAGCAACATGCATGTTTCTCAAAAGTTTGAATCACCTACATTTTTTTTTTGAGGTTGGTGGAAAGACCAAATTGCGAGTTAATTTGGAAAATATTAAACTTAACAGCTGAGTTTTTTGCGTGTAAGAACCACAGTAATTGCTGATTAAAACTGCTAGAACAGTTTTTTGTAGATGGTCACGGCCGGGTCAAGTTGCTCGATTTATGTTTCGACTTTCTCGACCAAAAATTAGCATGTTTTGACCGCCTCGAAAAGATTATATTATGTTTTGAGCGTCTCGACCACATCTCTGTATGCTTTGAATTTCTCGGCCAATTTTTTTATTGTCTCGACCCAACAAACAATGTAGTCTACTCTCAACCCAATTCAGATAAGTTTCGAACCAATTATCGATGTTTCTACACTTGCTCGACTGTCTCGGCGGAAACAAAAAAAAATTGTTGCCCGGCCTCGCATAGATATGTTTTGACTTTCTCGACCAAAAATGGGTATGTTTCGATTTTGCTCGACCTGTTTCGACTTTTTCAATGATCAAATAACATCAATAAAACGACAAGAAAACTAGGGTAAGTTTTTCAGATGCTTTTTTTGTGACACAGGTTTTTGCTCGACTTATGTCTCGACTGTCCACGACCTACATTTCGATTTTCTCGACCACAATCAGGTATGTTTAGACTGTTCTCGACCTTTGTTTCAATTTTTTTAACCAAAATTTGGTAGGTTTCGATTGTGTTGTATCTATGTCTCGACTCTCTAGGCCGAAACCGGGTGTGATTTCACTTTTTACTCGATTTAAAACTGCTTCTCGACCGATGATTTTCAGTCGAGAAATTACACTTGCTTCTTTTTCAAAAGTAAAAACTAATTCGAGCAGCTCGACCTGGCCGAGCACGGAAGCGAAAATTGAAGTCAGAAGCTTAAAGTTTTATTTAATTTGTTAAACGGGTTTAAAAACATTTTTTAATGCTGTTATATTGTAAGATAAACTTCAATTAAGCCACAACTGTTAAATTTTTTTAAGCCACAACTGTTAAATTTTTTTAAGCCATTTACAGAAGCTTAAGGCTCAAACTCATAACTCTGTGTGAACTAGAAAAAGTATCTAAGATAATTAATAACTATTTTATTCTGTTTGAAGCGTACCCTGGTCGAGGAAATCACTCAATGTTTCGACTTTTAAAGTCGAGCACACGTCATAGCTCGACCAAAAAGAGTAGTCGAGACAAGGGAATTTGAAACATCCTCGAGCACTGTCAGAATTTACCAATTTTCCAGCGGTAATTCGGGTTGAAATAGAAAAGTTTCTTTGAAATATCAACATATTTCTAAAAAAATTTTGACTCATATTGCGAATCAAAGTTTCAAAAGATGGGAAAAGAATAGCTCAAAAATATTGCATTTTCATCATATATATATTACAAATTACTCTAATCACTTCATTCTGATAAAAACGCATCATAAAAGGTAACCCGAAAAACATAAATAATAACGTTTAAATTTGAATAAAAGTCGAAACAGATCCGAACTCAGTCGAACACGGTCGAAACATACTTTTCTAGGGTTGAGCACGCTCGAGCGCATTTTTTTCGGTCGAGCACGGTCGAACCATACCAAATTTTGGTCCAGGTTTTCTGTTGAGGTCCAGAGACGTTTGCCTTGTTTGCAAGAATGATGTTAACTATTTTTGATCCCGAAATACAAACAAAAAAATCACAACTGTTTTTGTTTACGGCACATCAGCGGCTCAAATAAAAAAGATTAAAGGCTCGGCTGAAAATCACTTTTCTTTATTTTGGCAAGTTTAACCGGCTTTTAAACGGGTTTCTTAGGCACAAAATTGGCACAAAATCGGCACAAAATTGCTTGAATTTTATTAAAGTTGATCATATTGTAATTGTTTTAGAGTGACAAGGTATACCAACTTTTGTCGCTAAAGAATATTTTTAAAGGTTTTTTTTTGTGATCATTCTTGGAAGCTTTCGCGGATCTAATCAGATTGTTGCACTATTAAGCGGCTTTGTAATTTTTATGAAAAAATCAAAAGTTCACTACAGTTTGATCTAATTAAGTTGTAACATTTATTTTTGAATTCATCCAGGCGAGTTTTTTCTCATTCTTTAATCTTGTTGTTCTTCTATTGTGGGCTAACTAATCACCATATTTATCATCAAATTCAACTATTTTGGTACTTTGTTTATTTTGAGACCATAATCGGAAGTTCTTAACTAACAATTGAAAGCCTTGAAAGAAGTGTCTGAAATTAAACTAGAAAAAAAAACAGTAAACTAATCCTTATAATGAAAGCATAAAGCTGTTATTACCATTCCCCCGCAATCATTAGAACAATTTGCTTACAAAAATGTGTTACGTAATTTGCTGATAAATCCTGACTATTTATACTGTAACAAAACCACAGCAGTTTCTGTACCGTAGATATTACCGAGCAACTTTCATTAAAGACAACTAGAAAATGTAAAACTAAATTAATAAAGCTTTATTTTGAAGTATACAACCCAAGGTAGTAATAATTAGTAGCAATCAATCATAACTTTTATTAGTTAGTTTATCATCCAGTTTTGAGTAGATGACTTCAGGGATCTGACTTAGAAGCACTTTCGGTGCACAATCGAGGGTCCAGACTCATCGTACTCGTTCTTGCTGATCCACATCTGCTGGAAGGTAGCCAGCGAAGCCAGGATGGATCCACCGATCCAGACAGAGTACTTCCTCTCGGGCGGAGCAACAATCTTGATCTTCATGGTGGGGGGAGCCAGGGCGGTGATTTCCTTCTGCATTCGGTCTGCAATACCCGGGTACATGGTGGTACCTCCAGACATGACAGTGTTGGCATAGAGATCCTTTCGGATGTCGACGTCACACTTCATGATTGACTGGTAGGTGTTGTCGTGGATGCCACCGATTTCCATTCCGAGGAGTGACGGCTGCAGAAGTGACTCAGGAGCTCGGAATCGTTCGTTGCCGATCGTGATTACTTGACCGTCCGGAAGCTCGTAAGTCTTTTCCAGGCTCGAACTAGAAGCGGCGGTTGCCATTTCGGCATCGAAGTCAAGTGCGACGTAGCACAGCTTCTCCTTGATGTCTCGCACGATTTCTCGTTCGGCAGTGGTGGTGAAAGAGTATCCTCTCTCTGTCAGGATTTTCATCAGGTAGTCTGTGATGTCTCGGCCAGCCAAGTCCATTCGCATGATGGCGTGGGGCAGAGAGTATCCCTCGTAGATGGGTACCACGTGGGAGACACCATCTCCAGAGTCAAACACAACTCCAGTGGTTCGTCCAGAAGCGTACAACGACAGTACAGCTTGGATGGATACGTACATGGCGGGGCAGTTGAAGGTCTCGAACATAATCTGAGTCATCTTTTCCCTGTTGGCCTTAGGGTTCAGAGGTGCTTCAGTAAGGAGCACTGGGTGTTCCTCTGGAGCCACTCGGAGTTCGTTGTAGAAGGTGTGATGCCAGATCTTTTCCATGTCGTCCCAGTTGGTCACGATTCCGTGCTCAATGGGGTACTTCAGAGACAGAATTCCTCGCTTGGCCTGGGCTTCATCACCGACGTAGCTGGTCTTCTGACCCATGCCCACCATCACACCAGTGTGACGGGGACGTCCAACAATCGACGGGAACACGGCTCGAGGAGCATCGTCTCCGGCGAACCCGGCTTTGCACATTCCGGATCCGTTATCGACAACCAAAGCTTGAATTCCATCGTCTTCCATTGTAGCGGGTTGTTAGAATAGTTAAGATTTCACTTCAAAATTAAAGCAAAGTTTTGTTCAACTGATTGCAAACTGCAGCTCAAGTCTTAATGAAAAGTTTATAAGTTAAGTTATTGTTTGAGTTGTTGGTAAACAAAAATAACCAACCGATGCTTCCAAATACAACAAAACTCAATTTTTTCTATGAATTAAGCCTCCTAGATCGCTCCGTAGATGGACAGCGTCTTATAATTCTCAAAACAACATATTGGGTGACTACTGGTTTCCTTTGAAGCTTTTGAACTTTTCGTTGTTGTTTACTTCGTTTATGTATCGAACATAATTGATGAACCATTGAACCATTGGATGTTTAATATCAATTCGGAGCAATAATGTTTGCTTAAAATCTACACAAACAAAGACGATCGAAGAGCAAGTTATGAAACCAAATTTAGCCAGTTCAATACAACCATGGTGTGTAGAGGGCAAATCTATAATTTTTGCAAGTTCTAAGGTTTTCTGAAGTGATCTAGCAATTTGCGAGTTTTGACAGCAAAATGGTACGTTCAAAAATCAAAATTAAGAAATTTTCGTCGACCATTGTTAAAGTTGTCCAATTAATTTAACGAATTTTAGAAAAATTTAAACCAAAAGTCGCGTTTTTGCTATTTTTATTTTTCCACTCAAATTTGGTTTACATTGACAGAAAATAATTTGTAGAAAAAAAAACAATTGACAGTAAACCTAAAGGCAACAAGACTGCTCGTATCAGGGCAAAGCGCCGAATGTTCCGACTGCATCTTCAGGTTTATCGAGCAGTAGTAACATGAAAAAAATTAAATGTAATAAAAAAAAATGAACAATTTTTTTTCTAAAATTTGAATTTTTTTTTATGAAATCACATCCCCACACGCCATATGAAATTTAAAAGAATAGATTTTGTTCATTGTAACAAAACAATTATGGCAAATAAGCTTCTTTCAACCAATTCGGAACGATTTAAAAGACGGATTAAATCTCCGTTTACGCGTTAATAGCGCGAAATATATCGCGCGTTAATTGTCCCAAATTGACCAAAATGGCAATCTTTAAACCCTCATAACTTTATGAAAATATCTTTTCGCATTTGAGCTCAGGACAACAATACCTTTTGAAAAAAATTCTGTCAAAAATGGCTAGTTAAAAAGTCGAAATTTGTCTGAAGAAAAAAAAAACCCACCCCGAGCACAAATATTCCATCACTTTCGTATCGAAAGTCGGAACAATAAAGACATGCATCGGTTGCTCGGCTTGACGTTCGAAAGTCAGAACAATAACAATTACGATATACATTGTTCTCAAAAATAGTGTATTTCGAAACACAAAAAGATTGTTGGCGCCAAAGGGTTAAGAGGAGAGGTACTAAAGTGCCTACGCCTCCGCCTCTCAAGCGAGAGATTGGGTTTTCGAGGCCAACCATGATCCCTGCTCGTTGTTTGAGGGTGAGGCACCATTACATAGCCCACCCTCAGGCCCATTACTCAGCCCGATCTCAAAATAGCCAAAAAAAGTGAGGAGGGAAGCAAAAGTGATTCTTCCTGAAGAGCTGAACAGGTCGTATGTTGGTCCTATCACTAGTGGATAAATTGTCTTAATAACATTACGGAGAAGAGGCCTAAATTCTGGTCGAGTGTAAAAACTTTCTGCCTATTCCCAACTAAAACCTTCCCTTGTGTCTTTTAGATTTACAAAATGGCTTGAAAACAAAAATTTCAAAAAATATCAAGCAAAAATCAAAGTTTTATAATGGAAACAATTGAAAGTTGATGAAATATTATTGAATCTTGTTTGCGATTTTATTTTAAAGTATTGGGAAAACAGTTTGACTGGGCCAAGGCTTTAAATATTCTTCAAAGGTGCCTTTTATTCTGGGAAAACTGAGATATCAACCCAATAATAGCATAAGGGCTTTGTTTTTAAATTAACTAAAAGCAATATAAACACAATATCTTCAAATCTAAAACTAATCTCTAATTTTTAAAAGTGCTTGCAGAATTTAAAGTTGCTGCCCCAAGTAAGTTTTTTCGTATTGCGATTATCTAAGAAACTATATAACATCCGGTTATTAATGAAGCGTCAGAAAAAAACCCTCCCCCAGCCTGGGAACTAGCTCCCCGTGTTGTGCTATAATAAGTATAAGTAAAGGATGATGATAACGTTTTCGTCAGATGACTTCGTACATTCAAATAATCAAAGTCACCGCGAGGATTTAAGACGACGGAAGAAAGATAAAAATCAAAAGTTAGCTAAAAAAAATAAGTAATATTTAATCAGAAATTTTTGTTTGCTCCATTTTTGGTTGTTTTTCAAGCAGAATCAGTGGATGCACTGTGATAAGCAATTAGTTGTTATCTGAACCGACAAAAGTTGATAAAAACTTCCACTTTCTTCGCGAAGTTATTCTAAATTAGTTTCCCAATTACGCGTCCTGACTTTCAATATACTTGATTTGGTCTGTTACTTGGACACAACCTTCGAAGCCGATTATTTCTGAATTTTTACATAATTTCAGTTAGTTGGGCAAAAAAACCCTTGTAATTAACATCAATAACTTAGCAGATTATAAATTAGAACAAATATTCTGCCTTTTACGAAGAACAATGCGTAATTTGACTTTTCTTATAGCAACCATGCGTTTAACACTATTAATAATCATCGTAGCAATTACCAACGAAGTTTCAGCCGACCGATCTGCGCCAAAGTTCGAAACCCACGTTCGCGGTCCTATATCGCACGAACAGATGGCATTCGACCAAATTACCCCTTCGGAAAGGCGAACATTCCACAATATAATGAAGCTATTGCAGAAACAGTACATTACACAACACAAAGCCGAACCAGATTGGGATTGGTGGCCTACAGAGAAATTAGCCGAAACACACGGAAAAGAATACAACCCACAGAAGAGTGAAAAGTTTTTGGCAAAGAAAAGACCAAGCGCGTTTCACTGGGGCTAAAAATTAGATACAAGCTGAAAAGAAACTGCAGAAAAAAAATATAACGCATAATGATACACAATATCGATTGTAAAATACAACAGTCATTTTGTAATCTGATTTGTATCAACAAAAATTGTGTGATTTGTATATGCAAATTTAAAACATGTTAGCTCAAGAATTTTTTGAACTTTAATTTCAAAACATTTAAAGCAACCCAGTCAAGAAGAACCATTTTTTGAGTTAGAGGATATGAATTTTTCAAAGTATCTTTTCTGCATCAAGTTAACATCCTCTCCCCCCCCCACCCAAATAGACCAAGTTAAGATCCTCCACCCCATAGCTTTCAATATAAATTAAATTTGCTAAGCGCTGCATGTGAAAAGCTCAAATCTGATTGGCTGAAAATTCCCACTTAGAACCAAGTTAACACCCTCCCCTCTGAACGTGTTTTTTTTTGGGGGGGGGGGGGGGCGGTGGTGAAGGATGTTAACTTGGTTTTATTTTCTTTACAAACGAGTCGCAAAAAGTCATGGGCAAGAATACTGTTTTAACTGACATATTTCATCTTTAATAACCTATTGTTTTGACCTGATCAGTTTGCCTCAATTTGAATGATTTTGAGCGAGACTAATTCACAGCTGAAGCCCTAAAAGTATTAGATAACTGAGTCTAAAAAGTATTAGATAACTGAGTCTAAAGAAATAAAAGGGAGCACAAAAAAAAACTTTTAAAACTTTTTTCAACCAATCGAAACATTTTTTGATTTTTTTTGCAAATATTCAAACTTAGGATATTAAGAGAAACTAAAATATCATTAAAAGTTCTTCGCATTTACAAAATCTCCAATCATTGATGATGGTTTCATGAAGATAACTAAATTAGCAAAAACACAATCCATAGATAGTTTTTTTATTTTGTGATAAGATTTGAAATTTAAAATTCATTTTAAAATTACTGGCGGTCAATCACATGCTTTTGCGCCATTTGCACATTTGGAAGTCGTAATTGCTCCTCTTTTTTCATGGTTTCTTGAATTCGCTATTTGTAAAGTAAAAAACAGCAGAACTGTATCTCGCACATCTCCAGTGCAGTGCTCAGATGTTTTTGTTGATTGCTTTTTTGTGAGATCGTGTCCGTCAATAATGAGCGTTCACTGGTTTCGTTGAGATTTGACTCATGTAATTTCACTCATAGTAATTTGTAATCTTGTATGTTTGCAGTGAAAAGATTTAAGGAGTGACCCAAAAATATTATACAAAACATTCAATGGCGTTAATTGCGGTTTATCAACAAACTTTTGCGTTTAATTGAGAAACATTACAGCTCAGACGGAATTCGAGGCTCAACTGAAATCATTTTGAATATAACAAATAGTTTTCAGGCTAGTATAACAGAAGTGAATTCCTGATACGCTGAAAAAAAAAGATTTTTATAGTCTGTTGAAATCATGACCATGTTGTTTCATGATACTTTTTTTAAAGTATCATAAATTGAAACTCCATGTTGAATAATTTTTTTGCACAAAAATAGGCTGCAAAAATACTCTGTAGACACGTATCAAATGTTTCATGCTTAAAACATTTCAATTATTAGAAAAAAAACCTCAAATTGTTTTTAATTTTTTGCTGAGGATAGAAACGTGATCAACTAAACTCAAATCATTGTCTATTGTTATTTCTAATCAAATATACGAATTCTTAGTTTCAATATCACTTTTTCGAATTTGAGTAACAAGTTTCTGTTTTGAAATTTGAAAATTCATTGTTTTTGTTTTATCGGTTTTGAAGTTGAGAAGGTTTTTGTACCAAAGTTTCACATTTGCTTAGAGCTGTTCGATGCTCTAGAGGCTAATCAGTCATTTGATGCTGAAGCAAAAATTGCAGTGTCATCAGCATAAAAAACTTAAAGTTGTCAACAGCAAGAAGAAAAGAAAAAAAAAACAAGAGCTAATGATTCATTTGATGCTGAAGTAAAACTTGCAGTGTCATCAGCAAAAAATATGAGTATTTTAATGACTTGAGAATAAATCATTCATTAAAGATAATGAAAAAAAATGGACCTATAACTAAACCTTGAGGCACTCCATGAGAAAATTTTTTTATTTAAGATTTTTCCTTAATAAGATACGTAAACTCTCTTCTGTTTTAAAGGTATTTTCCCCAAAGTAACCCACGTAACCCCTAGCTGTAAAATTTTTTATGCAAATTGTTTTTTAGAAGTTTTTTTAAGATCAGAAGCGTCTCTAAGATCAAGAAAAGATTATTGCGTAGGTTTTTTTTGGTTGTCCCACTCAAGTCGGATCGTTTTGTTAAGTGATGATACTACGGCATCAATCGAATTTCGATTTTGTCTGAAGCTATATTGCGTAGTCTGCATAACTCTTTGATCTTTGAAAAACTCGGGATTCTATTGTAAATTAGTTTTTTAAACGCTTTAACCAACGTGGGAAGTAATGAATTGGTCTGTAGTTTCTGCTTTATATTCAGATCCCTCTTTATGGAGCGGAAATTGTTTCATAATTTTCAAGCATGCAGGAAAATGGCTTTGTCAAAAACACTTTTGGAATAACTCTTTTAACACTGGGGCAATTTTGTCAGCTACTGATTTCAAGAAAACATAATTAAAATTAAAACACTCTAAGCTTTTATTTTGATTTTAATTTTTGTAGATTCTGAAGAATTTCAGCAATTTCAACCGGCCTTAAAAATCTTTTTCCCAATTACAAGATACTTATCTTCACAAAACAAGCGCATAATTTGCCGAGAATGAAAACACAAAACGAGCAAAAGCTGTGAATTTCTTCATTTTGATCTTTTCTGGAGTTGAAATAACCATTAGAATGTGGAATTGATGAGTAATTGAGCAGCTTGTTCTCCGTTGTTATTAATAAAAATGGAGTCAGTTCCGGAGTCCGAAACCCTACCAATTAACGCTACCAATACAGTTCCAGATGTCCGTTTCCGGAATTTTGGTTCAGGAAATTTCGTTCGGGAAAAACCGCTTTCATATCTGCTTAACACCTTACAGCAACGGCGTTTTTTTTCTGACCTGGTTTTTGTGGCGGTGGCTGTGGTGCGTAGTATCTGTGATAGGGGTAGGGCGGAGGCGGGGGAGGGGGAGGCGGCACCCAATTCGATCTGTACTCGGGGTACTGTTGCTGAAACCAGAAGGCAAAGTTTTGTAACTTCAAAATTAAAAAAAAAGAATGTTTGGGAGGAAAAGAAGGGACAGGTTTGTATATTCAAAGTAAAAAATAGAACTGTTTGGGGGGAACAAAAAAAATATAACAATATCTCACGCTCTATGATAATTACTAAAAAATCTCTACCCCTACGAAAAAAAAAACAGTGGATCTCTTTAACTATATACCCCTCGGGTATCTAGTAAATAATACACCCCCCCCGTTCCCCGTATAAAGAAATGTATCAACGGTTAAGCATATCAGAATTTTATAACTAGCAAAGAGTCTCCCTCTTTTGCAAGAGGGGGATATACTTAAAGAGATCCAAAACAGCAAATTAGCATTGAGCTTTCTATTGAGAATTCTAGTTTGCATTCTGATTGGTCGAAAATTTGACTAACTTGATCTACTTAACAACCTCCCTTCTTGAAGGCGGATATTGTTAAGAAGACCCCAGAAAGAGAAAATGAAGCTTACCTGATGTACTAGGGGGTTTGGACCGTAGAGAGCGTCATAGTAAAGTCTGTTTCGACTAAGCTTGTCCGCTGGAAAACCACCGCCAAGTCCAGACATCCGGAAAAGTAACGATTAATTTATTCGGAAAGTGGTAAGTTTCACTTTTAGGTCAACTTTCAGCACAAAAATTTTAGTTTGGTAAATGGAAACTAGCAAACGAATCAAGTAAAAACTGGGTAAAACCAGTTACAAAACCAGCTTCAGGCAGACCAACAAAACGTTTACATACAGTAACACTACCCAAAATTAAAATTATACCAGAATAAACTCGAATGTAAATCGTTGTTGCGATTTTAAAACTTTATTTACTGAAGAAGGTGAGCACTTCAAAGACAACTTGTTCACGTAAATATTGTGCTTAAAAGGAGTGCCGGATGTGTAATTTATAATGTTTTGGTGACGTAGCGTAAAAGGTACTCTCAGTTGATTTATGAAGCGAACATTTTACATTCATTCAAAACTTCAGCCAGCTATGTTACATATAGCTCAGAAAAACCACAAGAGTCCAATAAATTTTCTACAGCAATAATAAAGTCATTCATAAACAGCTCTGCATTTCTGAGAGTGGCTTCAAAGAGACAAATTTTGAGATTTACCTTCTGAGGTGTATAATGGTTGTAGCCACAACAAATGTATGTTCCGATGATTTTAATGAAGTGATTAACTCGCATTGATGATTATTAGTGATGTGATTCGTAAAAGTCAGATTGTTTTTC